TAGGGTTTATGGTTTAGGGTTTAGGGTTTAGGGTTCAGGGTTCAGGGTTCAGGGTTCAGGGTTCAGGGTTTAGGGTTCAGGCTTTAGGCTTTAGGGTTTAGGGTTTAGGGTTTAGGGTTTAGGGTTTAGGGTTTAGGGTTTAGGGTTTAGGGTTTAGGGTTTAGGGTTTAGGGTTTAGGGTTTAGGGTTTAGGGTTTAGGGCCCTTCCGTAGTCCTGAAAGAAGCCGTCTAGTGATTTGGTTGCACAACGAGTATCTTTATCCGAGCAAAGGTCTAAGCAAAACCACTTCAAAGAGTCGACGCAATGTACAGCAATGTAGAGTCTGGAGGCGCTTGCCGGCTTCTGTAGACGGGCAGACTACCGCAAGACCTTATTCGTAACGTCCATAGCTTAGTGATGGGCGGCGGCCATCTACTGCTAAGACACCCAAATAAAAGACATGGCAACCCAAAATGAAAGTGCAGTGAAGCAGCTCTTTGACATTGTTGTGAATGTGCGTGGCAGCCTCAGAGGGGCAGAGATGACCCGGCAAGCAGCTTGCCCGATTCAGGCATTACCGACGCCATTCCGTTCCACCAATGGCCGATCGGCACACCTTCTGGCCTTGTTTGGGCCCCGAAGATCCTTGGCGTTATCCTGGTCAGCTTTTGGTATGTCACGGGGAGTTCCTGGCGTGTCGGGGACTCAGCAGTCATGAACCCTTCTCCAAGTCTGCGATGCCAACGCTCAGCCCACATTTTGAAGGACCTGAAAAGCCGGGTCGTGCGAGGGCGGTGCTGCGTAGAAAACTGCCTTGTCCACAGGCGCCGCATCCTTCCATGGACTCTGCGCAGGGAGGGTTTAGGGTTTCGGGTTTCGGGTTTAGGGTGTAGGGTTCAGGGTTTGGGGTTTGGGGTTTAGGGTTTAGGGTTTAGGGTTTAGGGTTTAGGGTTTAGGGTTTAGGGTTTAGGGTTTAGGGTTTAGGGTTTAGGGTTTAGGGTTAGGGGACCATCAAAACGTCAGAGTGCTCCTTGGGTGTGGCCTGGCCTTGTCAGTGACTGTGCGCACATGCGGCTGAAGACTGCCGACACAATGAGCTCTTCTCCCCCCAAAGCCTAAATGCCAGCGTTTTTGCGCTGTCTATCAGCTGCTTGACAAAACCCGAACCGTAAACCTTGGTAGCATCTACGGCGCTAGCGCTGGGCCTGCTTGATCGCTGCATGCATACTTGCTGTCCTTGCATGTTGCATGAGAACGACAGAAAGGCCTGTCCTCCAGAGAGCCCAGTTTTGCCAAGGCCCACAGTGTGGTTGAGAGCTCGAAGCTTTTGAACTGTGCCTGCAGCCACATGCGTATCTGCGTATGGAGAACTCGGACACTTGAACATGCCGAGGGCCCTGGCCAGCACATGTGGTCTGAAAATGCTGACAGGGCATTACTACGGGTGCAGTCCGGTGAGTCCTGCAGATTCTTTCAACACAGCTTCGACCCTAGAGCTAGAAGACCCAATGCCAGAAGCCCTGCAGGTCGCGAAAAAGGCACACCTTCACTCTGCGTTCCGAGCTTTTCCGAGCACCGTGCCATGTTGGATATACATACCAAGGAGATGACCTGGCGACTCTGGAAGAGCAGATCCGGTACGAGCATCTACGAGTACACAGAACAAAAGCACAAGATCCAGATCAGATTTAAAGCTCGCAGCTGGTAGAAGTATAAGAAACATGCTTTCAGAAGCTTCTGCTGAGTCTTTTGTCCTACTGTGTCAGAATTGAAGAGCCATCACAGCAACACGTCCACTCTCTGGAGAGACACGTACCTGCCTGCAGAAGGGGCCTGGCCATTGCAATCACAAGCACATGTGCGTCTGGTGCAAGCAGGTAGCTCTTGCGATCAGCTTGCTTCAGCACTGCAGGAGATGCATCGTGAGAGCGCTGCCGTCAGACTGGGCACAAGTTGAAGAACCGTCATGTCCCCCTCGTCCCCGCCTATGAACAATCCGCAAAGTCGCCAGCGACCAGACCACCTTGGAGTTCGGATTTTGTTTGGGACTTTCGGGTTTTGGAGTTTAAGGTTTAGGGTCCCGATGGCTGGAGTAGTTCCCTCACCTGCACATGCATCATTGTGCAACACTGCACCCTGTAGCAGCCACAGCTTGCCTAAGCGGAGCTCAGCAGTGCCGTGCATGCTCGGACCAACGCCTCCTACTCTACTCTCTCTCCGCAAGATCTTCCGAATTGGTTCCGGGCGTTGCTGACAGACTGCGGCTGTACTTCTGTGGCTTCAACAACATTCAGCCTCAAGGGGAATGATGTGCAGACAGCACACACACACACACACAGGATGAAGGGTCATGCAAGACACAAGATCCACGATTACGGTGCAAGTGCCAAGTAGCGCTGTGCAGACGCTGTTCAAGAGCGTGTTCAAGGAAGGGTTCTTTCGCAGCTGAGCCTGACGGGCGATCCAGTTGCTTCAGCTGCTGTGCGGAGGTATCAAAGTACCACGTGCCAAGGTGTGCTAGAGCTTGCTTGCTTAGCAGCTTAGCTGGGCTAACTTCTCATGAGTCCCCCAGATTCTGCAGCGGCTCCGCAAGCTTTTGTTGTCAGAGAGTCGTAGCTCACGGCGGCCTCTCTATGGGTGACTCAGCAATGATGCAAGCCACCTGCTGCCACGCATCCGACCCTGCGATCTTGGCCACGCGGTGGATTGCGGTGGACAGGTTCACCAGATTCATCTGGGGCCTGAAGAATCTGCTCATGGTAAGGCTTGAAATTAAACAATGTTAAACAGACTCCTGTACGTGCTTGGCCAACGTCAGGTCTGGGCCCCTTTCCCCGCCGCTCCCCTGCACAAGCTGTTGAGGGGCAGGCAGATGCTGCAAAATCACCGACATCCTGAGCTGATTGGACAGATGTGCCCGAATAGTACTCGGATCCTATTCGAGTCTTTTTAAAGCTGCAGGTCCCGAGTACTAGGTGCCGCAGATACAACATTCTGTTAACATCTTAGCTACTGGCTTCGGACTGAATGAAAATCGCGTCTCGGGGGAATGGGATCGGCGAGAAATTTTGAGTTTGGACAGACCGGAGCCTTCAGGGGGAACCACTTGTCGCTTGCAGACTTGGATGATGAAGTTATGAGGGCAAATCACCGGCTCATGAGACCGAAAATAACGGCTTTCCAGAACTGAGAAGAAAGTCACGTTTTTTCTGTTTCCTTTCAGTGCAGCCTCGACATGATTTTATCGTACTGGGGCCTTAAGTTGAAGACTCCCTGATCCCCTTGCAGCCAAAGCTCAGGTGGTGGACATCCTTCCCTTCAGACGCCTGAATGATCTGAGAGTTGATCCATGGATGGGTGCCTGCGCAGCAGGGAGTTTCTGGCTGCCCTTCTGAGGCCGCCAGAAGAAGCTCCCCCAGGTTGTGGCGCTGTTACATGGTGGATGTCCCAAACATGAGCACCGAACGCATATCCTGAGAAACGGCCCAGATGTGGAGGGCCACTAGAAGACACCTTTGACAGTTCGAGCCCCCCAACATGCCTCAACCCCTCAACCCTCAACCCTCAACCCCTAAACCCTAAACCCCCAAACCCCTAAACCCTCAACCCTAAACCCCAAACCCTCAACCCCAAACCCTAAACCCTAAACCCCCAAACCCCTAAACCCCCAAACCCCTAAACCCTCAACCCTCAACCCCAAACCCTAAACCCTAAACCTGGTGCCTCCGCGGCCACCCCGAGGTTTGCGATTTGCAGCCTGCTTGGGGAGGCTTCAAAGGACGTGGATCTCCGAGCAACTCGATGCATCCGGGAGAGCTCTGGGCTGAGACTCCGCAGGGCTTAGGATCTAGGGTTTAGGGTGTAGTTTAGGGTTCAGGGTTCAGGGTTCAGGGTTCAGGGTTCAGGGTTTAGGGTTTAGGGTTTAGGGTTTAGGGTTTAGGGTTTAGGGTTTAGGGTTTAGGGTTTAGGGTTTAGGGTTTAGGGTTTAGGGTTTAGGGTTTAGAGAGTCTCGCCGCGCCTTGCCATTGCCTTTTCCAGCGGCTTTGCCGGAGCCCATATCAGTTGAATTCGGAAAAACACACGCCTCGGGATCGTGCGGCGGCTCTACGGGCTTTGCAGGTCTCTACGCGGCTTAACAAAGGAACAGGTCCCGCACCATGCGCACTATATTCCAGAACAGTGCCAGTACTGTCCACAGTCTTGACCGGCGGCAGCCCAAAGCACAGCTGGTCATCTTCATGCTACCATTGAGGTATTTCTTGTAATATGCTGGATAGCCTCAAGACACCCAAGCTTGTTGCAGGACGTGCGGGACTGACACACTGCAGTGAGCGTGCACTCGCTTGAGTTTGGATGCGGGTTCGGGTGTCGGGCTTTGTGCACCGTCAACTTGATACTTAGAGTCCGAAGCTGGTGCGAAGGCAGACGACCTGAGGGCGCAGCAGATCAGACTGTGTCGCTGGAACAGCGACTTGAAAGGTATTAGATGGACTGTGAACTATACTTCCCTGAGAAAGGCAGCGGGACCAGCAGTTCGTCTGAGAGCTTTGGCATCCCAAACGCAGAGCTTCCGGACTCCTAGCCATGCCAAAGCCCGTCGGATCTTAACTTTAAGGAGAGCAAGACACTTGATGGGTTGCATGACTAACCGTGTCCAACATGGTGGCTACACCCTCCATCATCTTTGGCAACTGCCTGTGCCAACACCGCTTGAACTGAGGGCTGGACAACTGCTCCGAAGGCACAGGGCCCACGGCACAGGCATTATCTTGGACATCTTCTCACATGGTGTTGCATGTGTGGGTGCTGTGTTGGACCTCCTGTGCTCTCTATGAATATGTTGTTCAGCTCAGGGTCGGGAAGGGCCGTGGTTCCTAGCATCCTCAGGAAGGAGTGAACAGTGAAGGCTCGGACCCAGTGCCTACCAGCTTAGAAACACTTGTGCATGCAGAATCCGCCCTCTACTGAGACGGACACATGCCACGACTCACCGTCTCTGCGCGCGTGTGAATCCTGACCCTCAATGACCAAAGATGCTGCATCCACCCGGAGCGTCCTCAGATCCTCCCAACTTGACAGAAGCTGTCTTAGCTCTGCCGTTGGAGAGCCTTGTCGCGCCTGGCATCTCGAACTAGGTTCTTCATTTAAAACAAGGGGGGAGGGGAGAGGGACAATGTGTTCACTACGCCGCACTTCTGGAGATGATATACTGTCGTAAGTATATAGTATAGAGTATAAAGTATAGAGTAATGTTGACCTCGTAATAATAAACCCCCCCCGCCCCCCCCCCCCCTTCAATCAAACCCCCCCAAATAGAGTGGGGGCCCCTTTGAATAAGGATTCCTTTCCTTAGAGAGACTTAGAGAGGATCAGAGAGAATCACTCAGGATTCCTTTCCTTAGAGAGAATTAGAGAGGATCAGAGAGAATCAGAGAGGATCAGAAAGGATCAGAGAGAATCAGAGAGGATCATAGGGAATCAGAGAGAATCAGAAAGAAGGGCTGGGAGGGTTCTACGGGTCAGGGCTTGGTTAATAATACCCTAAACCCTAAACCCTAACCCTAAACCCTAAAGAGCTTTTTTTCAGGCAGGAATTTCCAGGAACTTTATTCCGAGGGGCAGATCTTTCAGGATTATTTCCAGGGCACCGGCCTCCAAAGCTACCCCCTTTGCCAGAAAGATTTTTTCAATCCTCTAGTAAGGCTCTCAAATAAAAAACAGCAAGTTTCTCAGGAGTTTGGTTTTCAGGTTTCTCTTCGAAATCTGATCGCTTCATGTTTTCCTAATTAAATCCTAAACCATAAAACCCTTAACCCTCCCTCTCTTTTCTCTCCATAAACAAACAAAGAACAACGGACACCCCCAAAAAAAAACAAGCCCCGACTGGCGTACTTTATTCCCAGGGCTTTATTATTGCGGCCGGGACACCTGGCGCACTTTAATTTACGGGGGTTTAGTAATACGAGGTTAACATTATGGAGTATAGAGTATAGAGCATAGAGTAGGAAGTATGGAGTACAGAGTTTCGATTTTAAAGTATAGAGTATGGAGCATAGATAGAGTATATACTTTTTTAGTATATAGTATATAGTATATAGTATATCGTATATCGTATACCGTATGTAGTATAAAGTAGATAGTTTGTAGTATATACTACACAGTGCCAATACAATATACTACATAATGCAGGCAGCATATTGCATATTGCATACGGTATATTGTATCTTAAACAGTATACATGGCAAAATATGAAATGATACAGGATACCTGATACAGTATACAAACATTACACCACCGAAGACCCCAAACAGTCAAAGGCACGTCAAAGAAACAACGGAGACGACGGGAGACAAAGGGAGACAAAGGGAGACAAAGGGAGACAAAGGGAGACAAAGAGAGACGAAGGGAGACAAAGGGAGGCGAGGAGTACAGCAACCCGGCAATCCCACCCACATGAAGGGAGACAAAGAGACGCAAGGGGAGACAAGGAACCCGGCAACAGTCCTCAGAATGTTGGCAATCCTTAAATGAATTTAGAACCCCAACAGTAGACTGTTTGGGGAATTATGTACTTTATGTATCATCTGCTCAATCCTACAACTTGCGTATATACATATATATGCCCCCGCCCCCCCCCCCCCCCCAAAGATCTATCTACATGGTTTGGACGACCACAGGCTCGAATCCCTTCAACATCAACTGAGCCATGAATCACAGGCCCTAGGTGCCGGAAATTTGGGGGAAATAATGACGAACGGCTACCGGGACGTCGAAAACTCCTGGCAAAGCAGTCGCTGAGTTCTCACCTGTATCCCCTAAGGAGTATGAACTTGCGGTTTGCATAAGGAGCCAGTGAACAGGATAAATCATTGAGAATATACTTGACCTCCTGGAGCTGTGTTCATCAAATGGGACAGAAAGTATGCTCTTAACAGTGAGGCAACTCGAAAAGCTAAGAATCTAATCCGACAAGATTTCGCTAAATTCCTGTTCAAGAACCCACGCAAAAAGCAACAGAAACATTGTAACCATTAAGTCTGACGGCGCGCCACCACCCGCCGGCTGCTGCTTTAGAGACACTGCACAGAAAATACATGTGTTTCTTCCCGACAATGCAGCAAGCTTGAGGACCTCTGCCAAGCAGCGTCGACAATGAGAAGCGGCCTGGGGGTGAGGGAAACAAGCCGAACTTGCCGAGGCTCTGAGGTCGCGAAGAAAGTTCACGTGGGCGACGACAGTTCGAGCTGCTCTTGCGCTGGGAACCAACCCACGTAGCCTAACCAACTCCTACTACTTCGGGCGGCTGAAAGCAGACTAGGAAAAGGCTCCCTCATGTCGGAAAAAAGAACGCAGCCCAGAGCCACACGAGGCACGATGTCAAGATTTTCTGCGGAAAGCACTTCTGCTCGCAGTATCTGGGGCTAGATACTGTGCGTGTGAAACTCAAAGGAGTATGCAAAGTCCTCTACGAAGCATGATCGAACAAGTCTGTGCAAGTCTCGAGGCGAAAGGGAAGGGCGAGAGCAGACCCTTGACGAGAAGCGCACCTCCTCGGTGGCGGTCACGGCCAGCAAAAGTCGCCGGGCCTAGAGGACCCGAAACCCTAAACTGCTGAACCCTCAACCCTAACGAGACCCTAAACCCTAAACCCCTAAACCCCTAAACCCTAAATCAAATTTGGAAGAACTAGAGTCATCACCTCCGCAAAAAGCAGACTTCCCTCAACCCATTCCTATTGTGTGCTACTCGATTGTACACACATGTGTATATGTAAAATATATATATATATATATGTATATATTGCTATGATTTGCTATGTATATGTTTGATTACAATACACATATACATATGTATGATGCTCTATATATATATATACACCTTTCTTGATTATATACGATACTGCTTAATAGAACTACCTGACGTGCATCCTCACACCAATGCCTCTTCCACCTCCTCCACGGGGATGCCAGCCTCTTTCAGGGCCTCCTGTGCTTCGTGGCGCAGCAACTCACGCGCCCGACCATCACTCACTGCTTCGTCATAAGATGTCAAGTCAATGTCTTGTTATGCTGGGTTTAGCATCATGGTGTATGTGTATGTCTTATACATACAAGCATAGAAGGGCTCTATATATCAGATGAAGGTTCAAAGCGGTTTCTCAGCCGCTGCGTTTTTGAGGTTTAGCAATCAGGCCAGAATTGCCAAAACCGCAGAAACCATGTGAAACGATAGGCAAAACCCCAAAAATATGAATTTTGCAAGACTTTTGGGAGAACAGGAACACCGACAACCAACCAAATCAACACAGAAAGCCCAGAAAACCAATTTCCACAAAACCAAAAAAACCAATACCAAAAAAACCAAAAGAATCAAAAAAACCAATTTTCCGGGACTCTGTGAAAGCTGTGGAAATAAAGCTTACGAATCAAAAGTCCCGGAAAATTGGTTGTTTTGGTATTTTTGATTTTTTTGGTATTGGCTTTTTTGGTTTTGGGGAATTGGTTTTTGTGTCTGATTTTTTTGGTTTCGGTGTCCTAGTTTCCCACGAGTCCTGCATGTTTTAGGCTTTTGTTGTTTTGCATTATTTTTGGGAATGGGTGTTTGTTTATTAGTTTCTATGAGCCTTGCTTACTAGGATTAGAGTTTTGTTGTACTCCACCTGTGCACACCATGGGAAGTTATGCAGCCGACCAAAAAAACCAATACAGCACTCTCACGTTTGTTGAAGCATGCGCACACGTGCCGGGCCAAATCTGGAGCTAGGCAAGGCGTGAATGCGAAAAGCAAGATAGTAAAACGAAGCAAATACCAAGAATTAGAAGAAACAAATGTAATGCTGTAAGAAAACAGAAAGTAACACCTACGAGTATAAAGTGAATCATTAACGTAATACGAAATTCTTTAATCCACAAACTAATAAAAAGATAAGATAAATAGAATGACCACAAAGTGAAGAAAATAGTATATTGTGAGGAAATTCCTAAATTAACAAAAGCACTTCCTAAAGATATAGCAGCATTACATAAAATAAGTGTATTAGCCTAAGTTAATTCACAAAGCTTCTCCAGGCCACATCCCTAAAGTTGGACAAGATAATAAATACAACGATGTCCAAAACAAGGATACAAATAATAGAGCTTCAGAAACAGGACAACCCCCCCAAAATCAGAAATAGATTAAGGGCTTTTACGCAAATGTAAGACTAAGTTGATTCTGAAGGATTGGGTTAATAATGCCATTCTTAAAGAAATGACAGGGTGAAAGACGTCTTTTGTCCATAGAAAGAAGCTGTACTTTTCCCCGTTCATGTCATTCACGGATCTATGATTAGTATCTTCATGTCGTGGGTGAACTGAATAGAGGAGAAAGTCCTAAGGAAAGTCTGTATATTTATCCCTGTAATAATATTAATGTTAAGGGGCCACATTATAGCAATATTCATGCGGTCCCTTCAAAGTACTATGATTATTAGGGGTGTGAACACATGAACGAAACAACCTCATGAATGCACTACGTTATGATATTATATATTGTACGCCGTGCGTTTCACTCACCCGTAAAACAATGTTATTAACGTGTGCTCTTCATGGACGGACTCTTGGGCAGCTACGGTCTCCACGGCTGGACAGGTAATTTAGTACTAACTCCCTCACCTTGTTTAGCCATCGCACCTTGAGACCCTGTTAACACCTGGTCTGGATAACACTACACAACCCAAGATGGGAAGTCTCTTCACAGAACGCACTCTCGGGACAGCTCTTTGAATGAGCAGCAGACGCGAAACTTGTTGAAGACGCAGTCGCCGAAATGCTTCGGTCGTGGAAATATCACAATAGTTGACTTCAAGAACATGGCCCGAGTTAGCTAGGCCAATGGCCTGACTTTTCGTCATTGCTTAGGCAGAAGCACCGATGATTCAGCGTGGAAGGTTTGCAAAAGGAACGTACGCTTCGTATACCCTCGCAAAATGTAGTTTGGTACTTATCTCTTAAATATAGCACAAATATCGCGTCTCAGCACGAGATATGGGACTTGAAGGCTTTTAGATTGTTTTTCGCGGGAAGTCACTGCAGTAAAACCCCAAAAACGCAGTGGCTGAGTTCCCGCCTTGAACCCAGATGAAATATACATGCTTACAATTACAAATTGTATATGTGTATATATTGAAGTATACACTACTATTGCATGTAATATTGTAACACATCGTGCTACATGTTGTTTAGCATAGCGTACTAAAGTATGTTAGTTTCTTCATAGCATTTTGCACTGTATCTTTTGTGATGCTATCATCATGACTGAAGGCGTATTTGTAGGGGTTATTAATTAATACGGGCTTACAATGTAATGCAATGAAGCGTGAAGCCCGTAGTAATATTATGAACGAAACTAGAGAGCATATTAATTGTATTATAAGGAGTGAATAGGTGAACGACGCCGGCCTTCTTCAGGAGGTGCGACGGGATGCCAGCTTTGGCCTGTTGCGGAAGCCGGCTTGGCATGGACTTCCACACATCGGACATGGAGAAAAGGTTGCGTGGCATGACTCTAGCGACTCCGAGGTTGAATCTTCCACAGAATACCGCCGAGGCCCTTGGGCTTAAGGGTCTCGGCTAGAAGCGGCAGTATGCACCACCCCCTTTTGGGCCGCAGTTTCGGGACACCACCTAGCCGACCCCACACAGCTGGCTATGACTCCGAAAAAATATCTCCAATGCGGCAGAGGGTCCCTTTCCACACTTTCAAAAGACAAACCCTTGACTTTCCCAGGCCCTAGAAGGTCCGTAGCCCGTCTGCAGGTGAAGTGTTTTTTTCTTCTTCCTAGCAACGAAACTACAGAGAACTACACATAGTGTCATAGTGTCATGAGAAGTATGACAAATCTTATGTGGGCGGCGCCCGCTCCAAAAAGTCAGCCCACGGCATCCTGCCTGCAGCTTGCCCGCGTTCTCAACGAAGAGTCGGAGCTCTGCAAGGGAGCCACCGTCGTTCAAGCGAGCCAGTTCCTGTCAAAGAAGTTCCAGAGCCAATTTGTACCTCGACATGTCCCCGAGGCAGGGAACTATGCCGCTGCACGTGCTTTCGTGGGCGTACGCTCCAGCCTCGCAATGGCGTGTTTGGGCCCTTCTACGCGGTCATCGTCCACTGAGCAAGAGCACACACATCAAGCTAGCTCCATGAGTTCCGCGTCTTCTCCGCAGCGCTGTAGGAAACGATAGCCAGTGCATGTTGGAAGAATCTCAGCCCGGGTCGATCCGGTGTCTGCGCGCTCACACTTGCATCACACAAGGACATGTACATCCCAGTCGCGCACCTAGTTCGTCTAGCTTTGCGAACAGTGTTTCCTGGGAGTGCTGCCAAGTTGGGCTGCAGGACAGTGCATATCAAAAGGCTTACGAAAACACAGTGGTCCCACATAGAAGTACTGAGGTGTGCAAGCATTCCAAGCCACACGCGCGAGCACTTTAACACTTCAACATGCAGACGGCCGGGTTTCGACAACTTCGGCAATCGGGGCGCCTCGCGTAACGCCTCCACATCATCATTGAGCTCCAGTAGCCTCCGCGAAGGCACGCGGCTTCAAGGTTCGAAAACTGTTCCATAAGCAAGTTGGTGAGCATTCCTGAGTCCCCCTAAACCCTAAACCCTAAACCCTAAACCCTAAACCCTAAACCCTAAACCCTAAACCCTAAAGAATCCTGTATCCTGCAACAGAAGGCCCCGGATGGCGATGGCCTCTGCACAAGGGCTCCCTCTGCGAGGCTGGCGGACTCCACCTCGGGATGGGGTTATGGTTTAGGGTTTAGGGTTTAGGGTTTAGGGTTTAGGGTTTAGGGTTTAGGGTTTAGGGTTTAGGGTTTAGGGTTTAGGGTTTAGGGTTTAGGGTTTAGGGTTTAGGGTTTAGGGGTTAGGTTTTAGGGTTTAGGGTTTAGGGTTTAGGGTTTAGGGTTTAGGGTTTAGGGTTTAGGGTTTAGGGTTTAGGGTTTAGGGTTTAGGGTTTAGGGTTTAGGGTTTAGGGTTTAGGGTTTAGGGTTTAGGGTTTAGGGTTTAGGGTTGCTTTGGGTCACTCTGGGTTGTGGCAGGGAATCTACCTTGGAATCTAGAGCGTTCCTCCAATGTCAAAGTCTGCCCAGTTGCTGAGGTTCGGTGTTCTCACCAGGCTCCCCTCGAAGAGAAGCAAACCGGCCCCACACCAAACCCTAAACCCGACACCCTAAACTCCATTCCCTCAACATCCGGCTGTCTGCAAGTGTGGTGCCGTGAGGGTCTCATCGAGGTTGACAACGCCCTCCTGAGCAGGGCAGCCCAACCCAGGCCCCAACTGAGGCTACCAAGTGTGCCACTAAGCGTTACGCCGCGCTCGACTGCCTTCAACTGCTACACACCATGGCACGATGGACCCGAAAGAAATCCCCCCGAAAAGGGGGGGGGGGGGGGGGGGGTTCCGGAGTGCCCGGAGCGCTCCTCCAGGCCGGTAGTCATGGCGCGGAGCCACAGTGCTGAGGCCGAAGCCGGGGCTGGGAAGGTTAGGGGGTGCAAGGCCTAAAGAGGGGGGTGCGACAGGCCGCGGTGCAAGCTCCCATATGGGTTAAGCTTCAGGCGCACGTCTAAGCTTGCACCAGTTCAGCGTGCAAGCCTAGATGTTGGAACTACGAAATGCGCGGAAAATGGATTCATCCACTTCTAAATGCGGGGAAGATCATGATTTGCGCAGGAGCATTGGCTGTCCGTAAGGTGTTGCGACATGTTGCGACATTGAGCCTCCATGGCTAGATTGGCCAAGGCGATGTGCTTTCAGGCAAGAGCTGAGCATGTACAAAAAGAGCCTCCACGCTTTGCGGAGGGCTTTTCGGCTTTTTGTGACATCTCGTGTTGAGCGCACAAATCTTCTGGAGTGAAACGCATCCTCAAGTCCTTAGGTCCTACCGGCAACAGGGGCCTCTTCGACAACGGGGTCCTTGGAATCGCAGTCAACAGGGACTCTAAATGGCTTGTGGTATGGAGGATCCCCAACTCGTCCCTTAACGGGCAGTATCAGGGGATATAGCGTACTGTACCTCGTTCCCAAGCTCCTTACTAAACTCTTAAGGGAGCCGCTGTGCCTCTGAACATAGGTCTTGCTGGCGAAGGACAATCAATCAGCAGGCGCAAGGCAAAGTCCAAAGGTAGGAAACTCAACAAGCAATCTTCTCATGTTCTTATAGTCTTACAGCCTTATATTCTCATGCTCTCATATTCTTGTATTCTCATATTCGTGTATTCTCATATTCCTGTATCCTTATATTCCCATAGTCTCATATGCTTACAGTCTGATATTCTTACATCTCAGATTCTGATGTTTTGTTTTTCTTCGTATACGATTACATCGGTATACATCTCTTCTTCCTGGCCGACGCGAAGACTCAATGAATCAGATGGCAGACTGAGCAAAGCCTGATGACATCTTCCACGTGCGACAATGTACCCAATGTCCACGATCATACATTAGGGTTTAGGGTTTAGGGCTTAGGGCTTAGGGCTTAGGGCTTAGGGCTTAGGGCTTAGGGTTTAGGGTTTAGGGTTTAGGGTTTAGGGTTTAGGGTTTAGGGTTTAGGGTTTAGGGTTTAGGGTTTAGGGATGGCCGCATCTGCCAGTCTTCCGAAACCGTTGAACGGTTTGAGCTCAGCGTTCAGATGGGCGAGCAGTGCTCCATGCTCCAGAAACAAACTGCATCTTTGATGATTCAAAGAATTTTACAATCAGAACATCCCAGCCCGAGATTCAACCTGCTACAGCTAAACCTGCAACAATCAGCATAGAAGCTGTCAGATGCTGATCGTTCAAACGTACTGCAAGCTCGACAGAAAGCAAAGTGACCAGCTCAAGACCAAAAAATGGCCCAAAAGTTCCGGCTGAGAGTCATCTTCCACCGGCTCCTCCTCCTCCTCCTCCTCGAACTCTTCTTCTTCCATCTCCTCCGCAGCTGGGCATTATCCCTCACTTCGCAACTACCAAGAATCTGTGCAAGATTGCCAGCTGCACCCCTGTCCTCCTCCTCCACAGACGACGCCTCATGAGGGCCATCTCGCCTAGGATGAAAGAATGCAAAAAACCAGCACCGTACCTTTTTTTACCCACCGTCGTTGTAAGCCTCGCGAGCCTCCGAACGATATCAATGATCTCGGTGAGAGAGAGAGAGAGAGAAAAAAAAAAGAGAGAGAGAAACACGAATGCAAAAACCCAGCACCTTGCCAGTCCTGGCACCTCGCAAGCGAAGAACCTTGAAAAGACAACAACTCGAGAGGGATGGAAGCTCGAGTTCGCTTGCCCGGGTAGATTGAAACCAAGGGAAGGAAGCCCACCCTAAACCCTAAACCCTAAACCCCACTGTTCTGGGAGTGCTCCAACCGATATCGCATGAAGCCAGGGATCCCCCCTCGTGGCCTTCCCATGATGGCCCACACTACTCAGCCTGCACTGGGTTTCATGGTAGGGTTTAGGATTTAGGGTCTGGGGTTTAGGGCTAGGGTCGGTTCAGGGTTTAGGGTTTAGGGTTTAGGGTCTAGGGTTTGGGGTTTGGGGTTTAGGGTTTAGGATTCAGGGTTTTGGGTTTTAAGGCACTTCCCTCTTGTCCTCTCCGCCACACACAACCTCACATTGGGCTCGTAGCCGACGTCATCCCCTCCCCCTTATATTAAATCCCCCCTGACCCCCGATATTAAATACCCCCCCCCCATATACTGGAATAGAACTACACTGGGGGTACTATTCTGGGGAGGGGATTAGTGTGTGCCCAACAGCTGCTGCGTTCCCGGCGGCTCAGGTGCTGCGGCCCTTGCAGCACCTGCCAGCACTTCGCACGCAGTGTCTAGGGTTTAGGGTTCAGGGTTCAGGGTTTAGGGTTTAGGGTTTAGGGTTTGGTTTAGGGTTTAGGGTTTAGGGTTTAGGGCTTAGGGTTTAGGGTTTAGGGTTTAGGGTCTAGGGTTTAGGGTTTAGGGTTTAGAGAGGCCTGAATAATTAGAATGGGGTTTTCGGGGAGTTATTGCAGTAGACTTAGGGAATATTAGAATAGGGGTTTTTTGGGGGTTAATGTAGTAGATATATAAAGGGACCCTAAGGGAGTGTTATTAGTAATTGTTCCTTACATGTGGCGGCTTGGCGGCTTTCTTAGGTGATCCAGCTCGACAATGCTATGCACTGGTTGACAATGCCTGCAACGGAATTTCAACATGTTGCTACACCTCAACAATGCACAAGCGCGCACCATGTCTTCAGTCTTGAAAGCATTCCAGCTACTGTGGAAGCATACTCAGCACTGATATCCACATTCGCTACTTCGTCGGATCCAGGAGTCTGGTTGTGTTCAGAACAAAGGCAGGACAGGTGTGAAGAGGAAAAAAAAGGATGGCCATGAAGACACGCACGTATGGAATGTGGAAACTTCTCCCGGCTTCGGGAGTCACTTGTGCGACACTTGGCACCTTCCTTCGCATCGAGGGCCGCTCTGGTGAGCGGGTGGGGCCAGATTCCTCCCAGATGGCTCACAGCTCGTTCGGCTGACCGGAAGCACTCTAAACCCTAAACCCTAAACCCTAAACCCTCAACCCTGAACCCTAAACCCTAAACCCTCAACCCTAAACCCTAAACCCTAACCACAGGCTTGAGCTTGAAGGACTATAACTCGCGGGCACAGGGTCTGCAGGAGTATCCATGCAAGAGAAAACTGGCTGGTTCTTGGTAGGGAATGAGGGAATTAGGGCCCCATTTCATCCCTCAAAGGGTATACATTTCGCCCTACTTCCCTCATTCCCTACTCAGAACCAGGCAGTAAACCCTAAACCCTAAACCCTAAACTAGGGCCCTTAAAGGGTATATATCGGGCCCTACTTCCCTCATTCCCTACTCAAAACCAGGGGGAAAACCTTAGTTCGTGGCTGAGACGGATCACGGGCTTCGCTGAGTCGACTTCCGCATCGAGCTGGTGGTCGATGAGCCTGGCTCCAAAGCGAGGTTTAGGGTTCAGGGTTTAGGGTTTAGGGTTGAGGGTTTAGGGATTAGGGTTTAGGGTTTAGGATTTAGGGTTTAGGGTTTAGGGTTCAGGGTTACACTTTAGGCTTACCAGAGCTTGATATTTGGCTGGCTTTCTAGGATCAAGAGCCTGAATTCTTAGGGGGGGAAGGAAGGAAGTAGGTGCACTTATATCCGCTATACACCCAGTTCAGGCAATTCTGCAGGGCACCCCGCCATGTGGTCTCCTGATGCTGCTTCTGATATCGTTTGAGGCGCACTGTTTCGGAATTGCAGGCTTTAGTTGTTGAGATACAGAACTAAGTCGAGGGTTCCCCGGGCTTCCGGAAACAGATTTTGAGGAGAATTCTGCGGGCACGGCGTAGTCTGCTTCGGAGCTGCTGGGAATTGCACTTTGCGCCATCCTTCCCAATCCCCTGCCTCCACCCTCAAACCCTAAAACCCTACACCCTAAACCCTAAACCCTAACCCCAAACCCTAAACCCTAAACCCTAAAAAACAAACACCAGCGAAACTCGTGATGTGCCTGTGGTTCTGCGGGTCCAAAGTATCCAGCTCCGTTCGGAAAACTGAGCTTGGAGCTCCCTGCGCTTTGGGCAGCGTGTGTATTGTTTAGGGGTTCAGGGGCTTAGGGCTTAGGGTTTAGGGGTTTAGGGATTTAGGAGTTTAGGGGTTCAGGGTGTCGGGTTTAATCATGCTCTCCATGGCTTGTACTCGGTATGTGGAAGCACGGTGAGAAGGCAAAGACCAAAAACACCAAACAACCTGTCAACGGTTAAGTCGCACGAGTCTGCAGCTCCAGGCATACTCAAGCGGTGGCTCGCTTGCTTCGCACTGATCAGTACCGCGTAACTATGCGTTTTGAGCTTTGCAACGGTGCGGGCACGAGGGTTCAGCGATTGAAAGCAACCCTTGATACTTGCGTGTGGGCCATTGCATGGAGAAGAGCGAAAGCACCCAAACGAAGCCACCCGATGCTAATTGTTCAAGGGGAGGTAAACTGAAGCCAGGGAGGTGACGCCGAAGGTGCTTAAGCGAAGCTAACGTCGACCATGGATTCAAGACAACCTGAAACATCAAACCACCTCGGCCACTCTCCCCAAGCATCCTGCATATTCAGGACAAGCCCTTTTCTCTACGCCCTCAACCGTCGGCAGCGTCTTAGTTGCAGCGTCTCATGGTCGCGTGCCCATCGTGCCCCACCTCACAGAAGACCTCCACAACAGCCATTCCCGGCGCCATGGTCAACGGCAGCAGAACCTGGCCCCTGGCAAGAGAGCCCCGCAAGCAAAAGCAGGCGGAACACAACTCGAATCCATTCCTCAAGCTTCAATGGTGACACGCATGTGCTTCCCGATTCTTCCGGCACTCTCATCTCAAGATCCATCAAGCAGACTGCACGTGATATGAGCTCTTCAACGCCCTCATTGGAAAATTGAGCTTCAGCTGCTAACCAACTTAGCCTGGCCTCCCCCCAACCCCCCACACAAACCATCACGCAAACCCTTAACCATACACCCCAAACCGCTAAAACCCTAAACCTTTGAACGCCAAAAGCCCTAAACCCTTGCCCTAAACCCAAAGAAAGCATAAAAGGCCTAGAAAACCAAGACAAAGCAATCTTGAAACCCTAAACCCTAAACACTCTGAAGTCCTAAAAACCAAACGCCTAAAGCCTAAAGCCTAAAGCCTAAAGCCTAAAGCCTAAAGCCTAAACACTCAGACCCTAAACCCTGAACACAAAACCCTAAACCGCCTAAACCCTAAAACCCTACTCCCTGAATGGTACCCCCCCCCCCCCCCGCTAAACTGGTCAACTTATAAATCTACAACCAGAAACCCGGATTATATAACAAGCGAATGAAGTCTTCTTCTCTTGTATATTCTAACAGATTTAATATCGGAATCGGAAGCTCCTTTATTGGTATTTTGTAGGGCCTGTTTACTCTCTTAATATTACATTCAAGGTCCCTGACTATTACAATTCATAGTTGTCGCGAGCACATTAAGATTGTATTATTCGCTCGCGGGGACATGGGAATAGAATACTAATCATGCGGCACATGTGATTCCTGGGACGCATGTTGGCGTCCATCAGAAAATTTGAACGCGTCCGGGGGGGGGGGGGGGAGGGGGGTGCGACAACTTGCTTGACTGCCCATTTAACCCAGCCCACGTCACCCCACACATGTCTGCGTGACCTGACAATGCAATCTTGGGCGCTCGTCTGCTCTGCTGGCGACGCGAGGCACTTGCCAAATACAGCTGCCTGTCATGACATCATTGGCACAAGGCAGCCATTTGCAAGAGAATGAAGCTCAAAGTGTCTCATCTTTGGGTATTTGTGCCGCGAATTCTCAAACACATGCCCACCGAAATGTTGCGGGTGAGTAAGCCAGGCTTCTCGCGGAGCCTTGGGGGTTTTAGGGCAAACCTACACCCTGGCCCTGGTAACATTTCATGTTCCGTAGTCAGCAGAATCTTGCCAAGTCTGTGCACTTAAATACGCTCAAGCGCTGCCAACCGTTGCCACAATCTGGGGTCATGCCATGGTTCTCTCGGCCTCGGCCGGACGAATGGACCAGTATGCTTTGACCTTTGCTTGCCACAGCAAAGGATAAAGCTGATTGGGGTTCAGGGCAAGGTCTTCGGGCAGATCAGTCGCCGCGTCAGGCTTCTGAAGACGAGGCAGATGTCACACCAAGTGCCAGCACATCTACACTGTCTACACACATGTGCCCGAGTGAGTCGAGTGCGGTTAAAAGGTCGTATGGACCTGGACGCTCCAGATGATGCATGACAAAGACGCCGTATACGTGCATAGACACGTACAGGTGACACAGATGCGAAACGATTGAAGTATTCTCACACTGATTGGTCTTGTCCTGAGCTGTGTTTGCAGCTGTGTCCCGTGCCTGGTAGCTGCTTCCAGCTTGCGGGAGCCCGCGGACAGTGTCGACTTGGACCCAGTAGCCCATCTCAGAAGAGCGTGGACATTGCAGGATGTGATATTGCTGCCACATCTGTCACTTGCTGTTAGACAGTCGTGCTACCTACCTACATATGGTCGCAGCGGGGTAAGCTGCTGTCCAAACGCAACGTCTACCCAATCCCTGTCTCATAATGGGCTGGCATTTGCTCACATCACAGCATCTTCTCCGCCTGTGCAGGCGGATGGTCGGGCCGCGTGCCACCTGAACCTGACGTTGTTTTGTCATTGGCTTTCTCAGTTCACATTGGCTTTCCAAAAAGATCGTGGCGAAAGGTGCTTCCATTAATGAAATACGGGCTGCGGAGAAAGGCGTTGCCGCTGCTTCGCTTCGCTCGGCGATTGTCATTCACACTGTTTTCCTGACCGCTGTCGCTCTCCGAATCCCAGGCAGACCTATGCAGACCTTCACAGTTTAATCATCTTTGTTGTGTCACTTCCTCTCATCCTCAAACTCCCACCAAGCCTTCAAAAAAAAAAAAAAAAAAAAAAAAAAAAAAAAAAACCGAGTTGTTGAAGAAAGCGTTGAAGCGCACCCGTGCCTTCTGCCGCACAATGCTCTTCGACGCTGCCTCGATTCCCAGCATTCACTAGAAACAAAAGCATCCCAGGACTGCGTAGGGTTTTGGCTTTTGGCTTTTGGGTTTTGGGTTTAGGGCTTTGGGTTTAGGGTTTAGGGTTTTGGGTTTTGGGTTTAGGGTTTAGGGTTTAGGGTTTAGGGTTTAGGGTTTAGGGTTTAGGGTTTAGGGTTTAGGGCCAATTGCCCTTTCTTCAAGATGCCTCGGCTGGCAGCCCTTTCGCCCTCGACCGTGCCCGGCGGGTGCAACCTGCCGAATGGGTTTAGGGAGATATAATCCACATTTACGCAACGTAAGTACCCTAATAGAGTTAGAACTGGGTAATAAGTGCCGTGATAATTGGGTTGCTAAGTCGACGCATGAGCCCGAAGACTTCTTTCTCAGCTTTGGTAGGAGTGTTTGAAACAAAAACTGAAGTTTCTGAGGTCCTCTGGAAATGCACATGTATGTCATATGCATGTGCAATTGCAGAGGACCTCAAGGACCTCAGAAACTTCAGGTTTTGTTTTAAACACTGTATATCTAATCTCATTTAGTATATTATATACCATATAATATATACTATATACTATATACTATATACTATATACTTTGTACTATATACTATATACTATATACTATATACTATATACTATATACTATATACTATATACTATATACTATATACTATATACTATATACTATATACTATATAGTATATAGTATATACTATATACTATATACTATATACTATATACTATATACTATATACTATATACTATATACTATATACTATATACTATATACTATATACTATATACTATATACTATATACAATATACTATATAGTATATATTGTATATTGCACAACCGAGGTGCACGTCGGGCTCCGTCTGCGCTTGGACTGCCATCTCCCGGCCATCCTGGGTTTGGCAGGGCCGGATATGAGACTTTCACGGCCTCTGATGGAGGATTTGTATCCTAAACCCTAAACCCTAAACCCTGTATCATGTAGGTATATCCAGCCAAGTCGAGGCGCATTGAGGAAGAGAGAGCGTTTCGTTCCGGACTTGCCTCGAAGAGGGCTTAGGGAGGTTGAGGAGGGTTTTTTAAGGTTCAGCCCACCGCCCGATGTTACGCCGCACTTGACAAAATTCCCTTCCCTAGTGGCACCTGTCACCTGCCAGTTAAAACGTTAGGTGCATCATTCGCACAGCCCTCCGAGCTTCTTTCATGAACCCATCATGACTCCCTCACTTCACGCAGCCCCTCCACGTCATTCTGCGTGCTTCCACTCCGTCGGACGGTGCTCGGACGCTCTGCCGCCCCCATGCCAGGGGCACCAACCAAGAGCACGTGAGCAGCAGACTTCCCGTCTCCCTGTCTCTTCTTGGTCTTGCCACCACGCCCATGCAAAGAGGATGCAAAGAAGCCAGAGCACAGACAGGGTACGGTCACTTTTGCAGATGCCTCCCGTTGGCAAGAAGCACCTCGAAAAGAATCTTGCGCGGGCGACGCGGCTCCTCGTGCAGAAATCCCTCAAGTCCCCAGGCCTTCGTCGAGATCCGCAACAGCCGGCACGGATTCAGGGCTGCTGTTCAGACCCGCCTGGCTCGGTGCAAGGTCCGCGGCGTTCCCCATCCCTCCCTCTGTATCGTCTTGTGCCCTCGGTTTCTGTCTGATTCTGCTCCACACAAAAGGCAGAGGATGGACTCGGCCACCTTTTAGGTCTGTCGTTGAATGCAGTGCTTGGCCAAGCTGCCGTCTCATGCTCTGCTTGGAGGACGCAAACGGCTTTTCTTGGGTGAGGTTTTTCGCTGAGCGCCCGCAAACAGCCACGCAACACTCAGACCTTCCTGCCTTCCGCCTTCCTTATGTCTGCCTGCCTTTCTTCCTTCCTCAGGCTAAGCCGGACGCTCATGGGCTTCAAGGGAATGCCCCTGAAGACGGTCAAACGTTCTGTCGACAAGTCCGGGTCCTGTTCGCCTTGCTGCTGCAAGATGCTCATGGTGTTCTCCCTGCTGCTGGAGAAATCGAAAAGGTGACGCAGCTGATGCTCATGATGCTCGCCCAGAAACCGAAGGGTCACGCAACTCATGATGCTCTCCCTGCTGCTGGAAAATCGAAAACGCGATGCAGCTGATGCTCATGATGCTCGCCCTGCTGCTGCTGGGGAAACTGAAAAGGTCACGCGGCTGATGCTCATGATGCTCTCCCTGCCGCTGGGGAAATGGAAAAAAGTGATGCAGCTGATGCTAATGATGCTCGCCCTGCTGCTGGGGAAACCGAAAAGGTCAAGCAGCTGATGCTGATGATGCTCTCCCTGCTGGAGAAATCGAAAACGCGATGCAGCTGATGCTCATGATGCTCGCCCTGCTGCTGGGGAAACTGAAAAGGTCACGCGGCTGATGCTCATGATGCTCTCCCTGCCGCTGGAGAAATGGAAAAAGTGATGCAGCTGATGCTAATGATGCTCGCCCTGCTGCTGGGGAAACCGAAAAGGTCAAGCAGCTGATGCTGATGATGCTCTCCCTGCTGCTGGAGAAATCGAAAACGCGATGCAGCTGATGCTCATGATGCTCGCCCTGCTGCTGGGGAAACTGGAAAGGTCACGCGGCTGATGCTCATGATGCTCTCCCTGCCGCTGGAGAAATCCAAAAAGTGATGATGCTAATGATGCTCGCCCTGCTGCTGGAGAAACCGAAAAGGTCAAGCAGCTGATGCTCATGACTCATGATGCTCTCCCTGCTGCTGGAACATCGAAAACACGATGCAGCTGATGCTCATGATGCTCGCCCTGCTGCTGGGGAAACTGAAAAGGTCACGCGGCTGATGCTCATGATGCTCTCCCTGCCGCTGGAGAAATGGAAAAAGTGATGCAGCTGATGCTAATGATGCTCGCCCTGCTGCTGGGGAAACCGAAAAGGTCAAGCAGCTGATGCTGATGATGCTCTCCCTGCTGCTGGAGAAATCGAAAACGCGATGCAGCTGATGCTCATGATGCTCGCCCTGCTGCTGGGGAAACTGAAAAGGTCACGCGGCTGATGCTCATGATGCTCTCCCTGCCGCTGGAGAAATGGAAAAAGTGATGCAGCTGATGCTAATGATGCTCGCCCTGCTGCTGGGGAAACCGAAAAGGTCAAGCAACTGATGCTCATGACTCATGATGCTCTCCCTGCTGCTGGAAATTGGAAAACACGATGCAGCTGATGCTCATGATGCTCGCCCGGCTGCTGGGGAAACTGAAAAGGTCACGCGGCTGATGCTCATGATGCTCTCCCTGCCGCTGGAGAAATGGAAAAAGTGATGCAGCTGATGCTAATGATGCTCGCCCTGCTGCTGGAGAAACCGAAAAAAGCGATGCAGCTGATGCTCATGATGCTCGCCCTGCTGCTGGGGAAACTGAAAAGGTCACGCGGCTGATGCTCATGATGCTCTCCCTGCCGCTGGAGAAATGGGAAAAGTGATGCAGCTGATGCTAATGATGCTCGCCCTGCTGCTGGGGAAACCGAAAAGGTCAAGCAGCTGATGCAATTGATGCTCTCCCTACTGCTGGAGAAATCGAAAACGCGATGCAGCTGATGCTCATGATGCTCGCCCTGCTGCTGGGGAAACTGAAAAGGTCACGCGGCTGATGCTCATGATGCTCTCCCTGCCGCTGGAGAAATCCAAAAAGTGATGATGCTAATGATGCTAATGATGCTCGCCCTGCTGCTGGGGAAACTGAAAAGGTCAAGCAGCTGATGCTGATGATGCTCTCCCTGCTGCTGGAAAATCGAAAACACGATGCAGCTGATGCTCATGATGCTCGCCCTGCTGCTGGGGAAACCGAAAAGGTCAAGCAGCTGATGCTGATGATGCTCTCCCTTTTGCTGGAGAAATCGAAAACGCGATGCAGCTGATGCTCATGATGCTCGCCCTGCTGCTGGGGAAACTGAAAAGGTCACGCGGCTGATGCAATTGATGCTCTCCCTGCCGCTGGAGAAATCGAAAAAGTGATGATGCTAATGATGCTCGCCCTGCTGCTGGAGAAACCGAAAAGGTCAAGCAGCTGATGCTCATGACTCATGATGCTCTCCCTGCTGCTGGAAAATCGAAAACACGATGCAGCTGATGCTCATGATGCTCGCCCTGCTGCTGGGGAAACTGAAAAGGTCACGCGGCTGATGCTCATGATGCTCTCCCTGCCGCTGGAGAAATGGAAAAAGTGATGCAGCTGATGCTAATGATGCTCGCCCTGCTGCTGGGGAAACCGAAAAGGTCAAGCAGCTGATGCTGATGATGCTCTCCCTGCTGCTGGAGAATTCGAAAATGCTCATGATGCTCGCCCTGTTGCTGGGGAAACTGAAAAGGTCACGCGGCTGATGCTCATGATGCTCTCCCTTCCGCTGGAGAAATGGAAAAAGTGATGCAGCTGATGCTAATGATGCCCGCCCTGCTGCTGGGGAAACCGAAAAGGTCAAGCAGCTGATGCTCATGACTCATGATGCTCTCCCTGCTGCTGGAAAATCGAAAACGCGATGCAGCTGATGCTCATGATGCTCGCCCTGCTGCTGCTGGGGAAACTGAAAAGGTCACGCGGCTGATGCTCATGATGCCCTCCCTGCCGCTGGAGAAATGGAAAAAGTGATGCAGCTGATGCTAATGATGCTCGCCCTGCGGCTGGAGAAACCGAAAAAAGCGATGCAGCTGATGCTCATGATGCTCGCCCTGCTGCTGGGGAAACTGAAAAAGTCACGCGGCTGACATGATGCTCTCCCTGCCGCTGGAGAAATGGAAAAAGTGATGCAGCTGATGCTAATGATGCTCGCCCTGCTGCTGGGGAAACCGAAAAGGTCAAGCAGCTGATGCAATTGATGCTCTCCCTAAAACTGAAAAGGTCCATGCCGCTGGAGAAATCGAAAAAGTGATGCAGCTGATGCTAATGATGCTCGCCCTGCTTTTTTTTGAAAGAAAACACAGCGACGCTGTACTGCATAGGGGATTAGGATTTACGACAGAAACCGAAAACGTGATGCAGCTGATGCTCATGATGTCCTCCCTGCTGCTGGGGAAACTGAAAAGGTCACGCCTCTGATGCTCTTCATGCTCTCCCTGCTGCTGGAGAAATCGGAAAAGTGATGCAGCTGATGCTCATGATGCTCGCCCTGCTGCTGGAGAAATCGAAAACGGGATGCAGCTGATGCTCATGATGCTCGCCCTGCTGCTGGGGAAACTGAAAAGGTCACGCGGCTGATGCTCATCATGCTCTCCCTGCCGCTGGAGAAATCGAAAAAGTGATGCAGCTGATGCTCATGATGCTCGCCCTGCTGCTGGGGAAACTGAAAAGGTCACGCGGCTGATGCTCATCATGCTCTCCCTGCCGCTGGAAAAATCGAAAAGGGCTCATGATGCTCGCCCTGCTGCTGAGGAGATCGAAAACGTGATGCAGCTGATGCTATGATGCTCGCCCTGCTGCTGCCTGCCGCTGGAGAAACCGAAAACGTGATGCAGGTGATGCTCATGATGCTCGCCCTGCTGCTCGGATTTCGGCGAGACTTCTGACGCATGCTACAGCCTCGACGCACACTCTCCGCTCTAAGTTGCCGTTTTTCTGCTGTGCTCCAATCACTGGTCTGCTCGGAGGGCTCCTCTGCTGAAGAAAGGTTTTGGCTTCTCGCTCACGCTCTCTTGCAGACTGCACTGCCTGGCCTGCTGTGACAGTCGCCGCGGTCGCCGCGGCTTCTGGTAGGCTGGGGTGAGCGGCCCTGGGCAACGCACGGAGAATCTGCCATGCATCTACAAAGTGTGTGCCTGGCACGCCCGTGACGCAGCCCTCCAGGACTACAAAACCGACCCTTTGCGGCCTTCATCGGACTCTGCCCAGTAGTCGGACGGAGGTCCGGGGCTCGAGTCACGGGTCCTCACGGACATGTGGAAAAGGGCCTACACGGGTAAGCTGGACGTTCACGACACTTCAACTTCACAGCTCAGGTTCAGCTCAGGTTCTCATATTTCTCAAGATGACTCAAATGTGACTTCCTTCAGGCTGCGCAAGCTGCTTCGGCTTGATCATAAGCTTCGGAGCTTCAGAGAACATTTCCCGCTGTCGAGGTTTTGGCACACTTTCAGGCCACATCTATCCATGCTTCTGGTTCTGCTGACTGATGGAGCTCCTGCAGAGTTGGAAAATTGTTCAGAACCGCTGGGGTTTGGCAGGAGCTTGCAGGGTCAAGGAGGCCGACAATCAGGACATCCATCATCTACAGGAAGTCCCCGACTTCTGAGAGAACTACCGGCTTACTGAATTACTGCAAAAAAACTTGGCGCATTGGCTTCGTGATGCGCGAAGGCTCAAATGCAATCTCGAGCTACTGGTAGACTGCCGCAAGGACGGCTCCTTTCTTCGAAGGACGTATGCGGTGGCAACAAAAATTCAGCACAGCAAATCGCACCACTGCGGTGTTCAACAGCTGTGGCCGACAAGCATCTGACTGCACTTTCGTTCCTTCCATCTGTCAAGTGTCAAGAAATGAGAAAAAAAACTGCCATTTCCGTATGCTTTCGTTCAACAACGTCGAACCGCTGCAACAGACCTGGTGCCCCTGCGCCTGGGCACGCAGCCTGATCCAAGCTATGCAATGTCGACCACACAGGGTGAGCATTGCCAAGGCCGAAGTACACTCTTAAGCATGCTGAAGCCCGGGGTCGTACTCATTTCAAAGGAATTTGCAAGATCAGATGTTGCACATTTCGCAAAAGCAGCTTCATTCTGCTCACGTTCACAAGAACCATGGACCTTGGATGTCCGGTTCAAGGTCCCCTAAACCCTCAACCGCCGTGTCTACGAAGGGCACGGGTTGACAAGTCAAACGACTATGACCCTGATCCGTGCCCTTGACGGGCTCTAAGTAGGGCATGAGGGAATTGGGTACCCCAGAGGAACATGTTCCGGGGCCCCATCCCCAGGGCCTCCAAAAAACTCCGAGAATGTAGGGAGCAATCTTGAGGCCCATCTAAGGGCCTAGCAGCTCTGCAATGCTTTGTGCAACCAAATGCACTGCTCACTGCTCTCGGCTCGGGTATTCAGCCAAGCTTGAAGCTGCAGCATAATCCCAGGCGTCCCCCACATTGATTCATAAAGGCCCCCAAGAATACGGGTTGCTGCTGATCTACACTTTCAAGGCCGCTCCAGGAATTTACATCTCATTTTTACAAAGAGGGCCTCCAGACCAGGATTTGCTCCCCAGCGCAGCTGAACACTTAGAGGCAAGCATTGGCCTACGTTCAACGATCCACCACTTGGGCCCGCGCAATCAAAGCGTCCGCAACAAACTGCACAAGCCTTCATGAGGAAAAGAAAGGCGCTATTCAAGCAAGGGCGCATGTGAGCCATCTCGTCGTGGCAGACTGTTTTCGGATTCTCCGCGTCTTTTCCAAAAATGCGTGGCAGCTCCGTCCTGGCATTCCGAGCAGAGGCAAAGGTTGATCCTGGGACGCGAGGAAGAAGTCCCTAAACACCTCAGCCCTTTAGGGCCGAAACCCGAAACCTGAAACCCTGGACCGAAGCCTGAGCCCTAAATTCTCAAGACTTCTCACTCCAATGGGATGAGTCCCAACTCTGCCCGAGCCGCTTGATGAACTCCTGCTCAGCCAAGAGCTCCTCAGGGAAATGGCAAAGGGGGTAAGGTCTTCTGGGTTTTTTTTTGTGTAGTGACTGCGGCGTAAATATTGAATTCCTGCCCCCCCACCCCCCCCCAGTCACCTGAAACCTGCTTTCCATAACAGTTTTATGAAAAAATTAAACATGTCGACACCGATCGCCCGAACCTACAGATCAATGGACTCCGGTATCTCTTACCACGCCTGCACAGGATCACCCTGACAACATGCACGAACCTCAACTCCAAATGCTATCCTTAAACTCTCAGCATCACAGCGCTATGCAACAACTGAGTCCTCGCCGCGGAAAGTGTGGAAGACTTCAGGATCTTGCAAGACCGGAAACCTCGATGCAATCTCGTTGTCGGGGGGGGGGGCACCTTTCTCGCCCGTGCTACTCCAGACTTTCTGTCCACAGCCCATGTGCCGGGAAGGCTGATACGGTGGACTGATGCGCAAGTGCCCTCTTGGCTCAGGAGCTTCTGCTGTGTCTCGTGCGCGAAGATCCCCAGCAGCCTCATGGAGTCAAACTTAGAACCGAATGCAGCTAAGCTCACATTGACACGCTTCTTGCGTGGCCTTCGAACAATGTCGAGCTTTTTGTTGATGGTGTTCCCACCTGGACACGTGCCAGACACTTGGCACAGACCCTGCAGCACCAGAACACTGGGGAGTGTTCCAGGTAAAGAAATCATCCTATAGCCGCCATGGCAAGCACGATACCTAGCCCCGCGTCGCCTTTGTTGAAGAGAGTGCTCCGCTCGGTCAGCAAGCGGACATGCTCACATTTCCTTGGTCAACACAACTGCTTGGAGTCGATACATCGAGAGTCTAGAGTCTAGAATTTATGTTCTAAGCTGTTGCCCGCACACCTCAGCCGTAAAAGCACACAGGTCAGACGCTAAGACCGAATGAGCTCAGATAACACCAGATCTGGAATCCCAAGAGGGGTCAGGATTTCTCTTGCTTGGACATCTAGAACTGGTAGCATCCGTGCTGGGGAGTGGGCGCGAAGCGCTGTAAAAAGAAGTCCGATACCAACAGCTGCTAGCACAAGCCAGCCACTGCGCCCCCTCGACGCCACCCTCAGCGATGGAGGTCTCAATAGCAGAGAGCGTGGCGACCATGTTGCTGGTCTCCTGAACACCAAGGCTAAGGCGTTCCCAGGCTGCGCGAGGGCTAGACCCAGGGTATAAGGCAGAGCTGAATGAAGAGAAGAGAAGACAAGCTCCTCCGTAACTCGGTCGAAGAGGGCAGACTGCCAAGGCGTCTTCCACAGGCGGGGCTCGAAGCCAGCCTCGTCTCCCAGGGCATCAGCCTGCGGGCGAAGGACGAAGGCAAGGTCTGCAATGAGCCTTTTGCAAGTCCAAGCCTAAAATTCCCAGACCCTCTCACATGACAGCTGCATCCTACCCATTCAGATCAGCAGGCCGGAAGGCAAGCTGAGAATGGAACCCCCAACCCCAAAACTTAATCCCTCAACCCTCAACCCTAAACCCTTAACTAAACCCTGAACCCTAAACCCTGAACCCTAACCCACCTTCTTGAGCAGAGCCCTTGCTTTGGGAGCATGGAACTTGACCATCTTGACCTTCGGGTCATAGAGCTCCTGATGGCGGCTTCAAGGCTTTGTGCCGTAAGGCTACGCGGCGACTTTGGGGTTCTTAAGAGAGGGGGGTTCAAGGGGGGTTTAGGGTTTAGAGTTTAGGGTTTAGGGTTTAGGGTTGAGGGCTTAGGGTTTAGGGTTTAGGGGTACCTAGGGAACCTCCGTGAAGTCTGGGGAGCCTTAGGGAGTTAGTGGGAGTACTAGGGAACCTTGGGTTACATGCCCCCTTGAACCGCCCTCCCTTAAGAACCCTTGGCTACTAAGGACCACAACGGGCTCCTTCCTTTCTCCCTTCCTCTCTCTGCTGAAAGCGATTCTCACACCCGGCCAAACAATCCGGTCTGGGTCGTGCGTCCTCCATGGCATTGCGTATCACACCCCAACACTCATCCAGGGCCTGACCAGCAGAAAAGAGCATTCTTCAGGACAAGCAAACCCAAAATCCATGAAAGCAGCGCAACCCGTGCTACATTGTAAGGATTCCACTGATCTTAAGCAGAAGCACGACGTGCCAAAAGCTCTCTGCATAAACAGAAGTTAATAGAGGCCCACAATGATACAAGGCCTTTACCAGTACCTGTCTTCGGTCATCATCCTTCAACAGTTCCACATAGAACCACCGAATCCTCCCAATCTCCGATTAGCACTAAACCTTGAAACCCCAACACCTAAAAACGAAAAGAGAGAAAGAGAGAGGAACAAAAATAATAATGCATGCATAAAAAAAGAAATTCTAGAACCCCTGAAGCCCTGGAACCCTAAAACTGAAGCCTCGCAGAAGAAGCGAAGCCCTAAACCCCAAACCCTAAACCCTCAACCCTAAACCCTAAACCCTAAACCACCAAGCTGCCTGAGAGGCTAGCTTGGAGGCCGAGTCCGCCGGAAGGGCCAAGTTCACCACCGTGGTCAGGAGCACGGCGACACCTTTGTAGGGGAATAGGGTTTAGGGTTTAGGGTTTAGGGCTTCGGGCTTAGGGTTGTTTTTGCTCAAGCCCGGCGCGCGGTGCGCTTCGGCGCTTGCTCGGCAGATTTTCAGGTTGCGATGTATGGCCGAGCACACTACGTGGGGATCTAAAATGCCTCGACCAGGGTGGGCTATCCATTGGGCAGGGAAATACCTTTGGGCCTCTACGACCTTTCACCCTGACTCTATCTCTGTGCGCTGCGCAAAAGACCACATGATGGAACAGATCTGAATCTTTGGCAAGGAACACCTGCTGCAGGGTCTGGCGCTGTGATCCGTGGAGATAGTATGATGGTTGTATGGGGACACCCTGCTTGTCTCCACACTTCGTGATTCGGAATTCTGGAGTAAAACGAAGCTTTGATGCCCATGATTCTACGTCTTGGAGGTTATGAGCTTGAGGGTTGGTAGAAGGGGTAGTAGGAACCAACGAATAATGACTAGGAGCAGGAGATCTACGAAACTGAATAGGTACGTCATCAAGAGGGTCGTAAGTAGATTGCATAGCTTACATGCACTACAAGCATGGACGAACCTCAACCCCAATCCTTCCCTCAAAAACCCACACCATCGGCGATCTTTTGTCGCACTTGAGCCATGTCGAATGGCGGTACACTTCTCGAGTGTGCGTGTCATCTTGTACACTTCTCGAGTGTGCGTGTCATCTTGTACACTTCTTGAGTGTGCGTGTCATCCTTGTGCAGGATCCGAAACACTCCTCCTCGGCAAAGATCGAAAAGCATGAGAGCTTTGCCGCTTCCCTTCGGATTGCACATCAAAAACATGCGCGTTGCCCCTGCTGGACTATTCCTTCGGCAGAGGACTTATCAAAAGCCTTAATTGAGGACAATTCCACGCTTCCCACGAATATGCTCGACGGTCAGCCTGCGTTTGCCTCGCCATCTTTCCCTGTCCCAGTCTCCGCCAGGTTCATAATCATATGCTTGTGTCTATCAATCCCATCATCGGCCGCAAGATTTGTAAACGACACTTTGGAATAGACTTCGTCAAGAGATCTGCCACCAATCCTGCTCCAGGGGCGTGCTCCACCAAGATGTCTCTTGTAGCCGTCATGTCTCTCAACCATGACGCCCGAAGGGCGAAATGGCGTGTGCGCCACCCATGAGCAACAAATCGCTCCCTCGTCACTAGGGTTACTGCCGATGTATTATCCGCTTTGAGTTCAAGTCCCAAATCTCGCCCCGTCAAAGCCTTAATCAAAGCATGAACGTGCAACAGGTCTTGAACCGTTGAGGCCATACCCTCAACTTCAGCCTCACATGTCGAGAATGCTGTAAGTGCTTGCCTCCTGCTGGACCATGCAATTGGGCTGGCTCCCCAAGAGACTACGGTTCCTGTTCTCGATCTGCTCCCTCCCGGAGCAAAACTGGCGTCGGAATATCCTGTCAAGATGCTGGAAGTTGTAGCCTTGAAAAGCACCGCCAAGAAACAAGTGTTTCGCAAATACCGCCAAGTCCCTTTAGCAATTCTGAGAGCCTCCGAGGGTGCCCTAGTCAAGCAAGTGGCTGCGGCCCCTATCACTGCTGCTATGTCCCCTCGGGACTTTGTAGCCAGCCAAAGCAAACTGCCCAACTCCCTCTGTGCCTCAGTTTTCCGCGAGGTGTATTGACGATCTTCTCGCTCATCTCTAAGCTCTCCTTCATGAAGTACAGGAAGACTTTCTTGCCCCCTCAAGTGGATCAGCTGACGCTTCTGAAGCTCTTGTAATAACCACAAATGTTGAGAAATCTCCACACCCCGATGGTTCAAGCGGATTTGCGTCCCAACAAACATGATCTCCTTAGAGAACTCCAACTCCACCGCTCCTCTTGTTATGTGTCCCGCAAAAGGAGTCCTGGATAGCAAGCCTTGCCACTTCACCTTCCACTTCTTGGCCACCAGTTCTCCGAAACGCAGAAGAGCTTCCCTTAGCCCGAATGCTAGCCCATCATCTACAAACATGCTGACAATCGCCACAATCTCCTGATTGTCTTCTCTTCTAATCACCCACATTCCAGCATAGTCCGAAACTGCATGGACCTTCAAACCAGGCAAATCGTCTTCTGCTAGCGGCGGTAACGTGGCTTCACTCAGGACGTCTCGTTCCAACTCCCAAGACACAGGACTCGACCTAAGTCCGTAAATGCCCTTTTTCGCACGAAGAAGCCGTCCCCGCTTGATCAGCCCCAGCGTTTGAAGAATCTTCGGAGGTCGCATTAAGATGGTGTTTTTGGATTTAAGATCCGAGTATAGGAACGCATGACTCACGTCGAATCCCATTCCCTCCCATTCTTGATGATTGGCCAACTCCGAATACATCACCCTCAAGCAGTTCACATCCACATTCGACGACGCGTAAGCAGATGTATCTATGCCAGATGTGTCTTCATAGTTGCCACACACCACCAGCCTGACTCTCTCCAGAATCGCTGCAGACGCCTGTTCAGCTGCAACGGCTGCGCCTTGTTGTAACACATGCTTGTCCTGCTGCATCAGCACCGGCTTCTCCGTACACACCAGCGACATCGGCAGGATCGCGGGGATTTCGTCTGTCTGCTTCAATCCTAAGTGCTCACGCAGCTCCAAAGGATTTTCCGGGAGCTCATCCCATACTTCCATCTCCTCCATCGAAGCCACCTCCTTCTGAGCAGCTAAGAACCAACGATGTTGTGCCTCCTCCGACCCTGTGGTGAACACCTTGGCGCTGACTGTTTCAGCTCCAGCCTTTTGCTTAGCCAAAACATTTAAAATCCTTTCTTGTTCTTCTGCATCAGCCTCCTCCTCAAAGGTCTCCACGTGGTACTTGTCGCATGACTTCGGCTCATTAGATTGCGCCACTTTTGCCACCACGGCTCCTTCGCCTAAGCGTGCCCCAAAAACCAAGTCCCCATCCACAGGTCCGTGAGCTCGCTCTTCCATGGTAGGCAATTCATCGATGGTCTCGGAATCCATTTCTTTAACAGATCCCTTGGATGACACCCAGAACTTCTTTCCATCCAGGCTAGCCACCCTCCACTTCTCATCATCGGCTTCCAACTTCACAGGCGCCCGTACCCTCATCAATCTGTGACTTCCATTGCGAGTCACCAGCACAAACGCCCCTTTCGACATAGAAGCATTCCGGGACAAAAACACTGCTCGCTCCGCGCGCGGTTCAAAGGCCTCAACATGATCCAGTTTAATCGCCACGGTGTCCCCAGGAACCAACTTTGGAACCCTCATTCCCAAGGCAATATCTCTCTGGCAAGCTGCAGCCTCCATGACGCAAAACGGCCAAAATTTTCGCTCCAATCCGCCTTCTATCAAGAATTGAAGCGCTCCTCGTTTCAGGGCCTGAACTTGCCTCTCAGCTCTCCCATTTGATGAGGGGTTATATGGCACCGTCGTTGTTCTAAAAATTCCTTTCTTGTTGATTGCCTCATTGAAACGACTCGTGACCAGCTCAAGACCGTTGTCGCTGTGTAGTCTCACCACGCTGTCCTTTGTCCCCGTGATAGCCGACAGTTGAGCAAGGATGATCTCTGTAGCCCCCAATATTGTTTCCACTTTCCGGTTTGTAGCGGGAACTGCAAAAGCCAAGCCCATACCCTCAACTTGGAAAGTAAAAATGCCCACTACAAAATACTTGTAACCGCCAAAGCTCTCCTTGTAAGGTCCGGCAATATCAATTGCTAAAGATCCCAAAGCTATGTCTGCCGGTTTGACCCGTCTATGAGGATGACGGAGCCCTTGTGCCGCCAGTTCCTGAAAAGTCTTACGCCTGGCAGCCTCATCGTCCTCTGTCTCCCTCTCGAGCGTCACAAAAGATGAGTCTGGGAGCTCTAGATCCGGCACCTCATCAAAAGCCTCGGAAGCAAGTCTTCCCTCGGGCGCCGCTGGTGCAGCATGGGATAAACTCTCTTCTTCCCCGAACTCAACCTCAATCCCCATATCATAGTCCTGGCCCCCGCCATCCAAGCATAAGCTTTCCTGTTCTGACGCCTGGACTGATCCCTGAACTTCCCCAGAAGTAGTAGAAATAGGGTGCACTAAGGGTTCATTCGGGTCGTTGTTCGGTGGAGTGGCGTTGCTCATCGTATGGCTTGCTGCTGCTTGCGGCATGTGGTCTGCTGGTGTTGCATTGTCTGCTGGTGCTTTGAAGCCCAAATCCTTGAGGGCCGCTTGGTCCTTCTCATCAAGATTTTTCCAGCCTCGAGGAACATAAGCCACAAGAACTTTCCGACTTCCTTCATATGGCTCTGTGCCGTGATACTTCCGGCCATTGAATATGACTACTTTTCCTCCGCTTGTAGGCTGAAGTGTTCCGGCCAGGGGCTCCCCACCAGCTTTCACCATTCTCCAAGCAATCTCTTCCGGCTTCAATTTGGACTCATCGTCTGCCTCGATCCACACTTCTCCTCCTTTGTGTTCTGAAAATCCGATTACCACATTGTCAAAGGCAGCGTCGTTCGGATCTTGGTGTGGTTTAAACACCACGTCCTGCGACACGACAAATGATAGGAATGGCACCGACGTTTGAGAAGAAATGAATTTCGTCAAGATCTTTGTGAGCCAGGGTCTCTCCTTGGTGATCGATGTTACTCCTCGCAAACCGCCAACACTCCATGCCCCAAACACCCATAGGTTCACCTGCTTGCCAGCGTTCTGGATCTTGTTCATTCTATTAGTCCTGGTGCACGGCAATCTTGCTCTCGCTACCACATCGGCAATGTCTACATACGTGAGGTTCTCCTTCCCCATTAGGGCCTTAGCAAACTCTTCTCCATCTTTGGCGTCCACAGCTCTGTGAGCCACCGCCTCTTCCTGAGCCATAGCTGCCCTTCCCATCTCATCCCATTCGATGATTTGACTCTCCTCCTGAGTCGCTATGACTGGCTCGGAGTCTGAGTTCACCTGCACTGTGGCCTGCGAGCATCTCGATTTCCACTGCCTCGTCAACATGGGCCTTAGGATTCTGTAATGTTCCCATGGCAAATAGGGCAACCCATTTCGAACACCCAAAGAGACCCAATGATCTCCCACTTCCGGAGGTAGCTTCAAGGCAGCCCCCTTCGGCGACCATGTGAAGGTCGCCCCGATGTCTACCAACTTGCACAGGCCGCACAGGGTAGATCTTCCTGACTCTGTCTGGATGTATATCTCACCTTCCCTGGTCCTCCACGCCTGCACGCTTTGCCCGTCAGCAAGTTGTAGAGGAGATGGTCTCGATCTATGGGGTTTAGGGTCGGGCGCAGTTCTGACTATCTCATTGGCTCCAGAGTCTAGCAACACCCCCACGTCTCCATCTCCTGTCATGGCCTGGGCCTTTCTGGCTTGCGACCCTTGCGAAGAACCACTTCCCATCAAAGCTCCCCTCAGCTCCAATAGTCTGATCCTCGCAAGCTCCGGGATTCCATGGAAATGTTCCACCTCCAAGTACACCAAATCGTGAACAATCTCAACACCCAGAGAATCAAAGTATGCGGCTCCCTCCTTGAAGTCTACCTGCTCCAAGATGTCCACTATGCTCATTCTCAAAAGGTCCTCGGAATAAGGATCCCCGGATTGGGGCCTCATGTGTTCTGCGGGCAACGGATCCTGGGATCTTGTCGCTCTGGATTGGCGTACTTTCGGAGGACGAGGGCTCTCAATCGCAGCCAAGAAAAGTTCATTTCGCGAGGGGCCAAGATCTAACAGCCATGCAATGACTCCGGGCCTTGCAACATTGTCCTCACACATGATCAACACGTCATGCACCGACACTATCTCTTGTTCTTCATCAATTGGAATGTTATATGCTGGGAGTCCTTGGTCCAAGTGAGCAACGTTGACCATTACCCCCACCGCTACGTCCAGGCCGTCTGTTACCATCTGGAAATCCCTCGGCGCCGACATGATATGTCCTCTCTGCCACTCCAAGAACTCGTCCGGCCTCATGTGAAGCCTCCACAAGGGATTTCTCTGAGGACCTGTGTCAAGAAATTCCTCCTCTGAGAACTCATCCTGGCTCTGTCGCGCATAGCTTGCTGTGGATTCATCTGACGCAGCCTCGCTGATATGAGTCATCTCTGAATCGGAGCTGGATGGAGAATTCTCATCCTCTAGAAGATCTGAGCGAGCCATCTTGCACACGCTGGCCAACACCACCGACGAGGCCTTGGGAACTGCGGCTGAAGCTTTGGCTTTTGCTGCTGCTCCCTTCTCCACTCCCATCAGGGTTCCACTGGCTTTGGCTGCTGCTTTGGCTGTAGCTGCATCCTCATGAAGATATCGACACTTGTCCCCAAATTTGCACGTGCCCTTCTTGTGGTTCCGACACGGAATTTTCTTCCTCTGAGCATCTGTCTTGGGATTCGTAGGCGGAGGTTGATGCGATGCGTCAGGATGCTTGTAGTAACAGCGATCTCCGAAGGAACAACTGCCCTTCTGTAGGAACGGACACGGTATCTTCTTCTTGTCCTCTTGGCCCTTGACCCCTTTGGTTCCATCCTTGCCCTTGCCTTTGAATCCCTTTCCTTTACCTTTGTTCGCCAAGCTGATCTCATGCTCGCCTGAGGTGTTGCTCTTCGAGTACTCGTCCGCCGACAACAATCGGAGTTCTTTCTCGATATTCTCCAGCATGAGTTCGACACCCTGAGCCTTTCCCAGCTGTATCGACGTGTCCAATCTGCAAAGAGACATCCTTGTCCTCAGTGAATCATGCTTCTTTTCTAGCCTGGCAATAAGGGTTTGGAGACCTTTGAGCAGCTCAAATGGCGCCGCTTCCGGCAACCCCAGGCTCTGGATCCTGGAGCGAGCCAGTTTCCACCGGCGTAGCACCTGAACCGCCTCGGTTGCTGAACCAGCCGGCTCAAGAGAGCGTATGAACTTGGTCAAGCTCGTTTGCTCTGAGCAACCTCCTGGTTGCACCTGGCCACTTAACTCCTCCAAGATCTGCACGGGGTGGATCTCATTGGCTGAACTTGTCATCTCCATAGCTGGGGCAGTGATCCTCTCTGGGAGCACTCTTAGCAATTGCACCACAAGTCGTCCTGCGTATCCCGAAGGGTAACGGCTGTAGGAGCCCAGGGCGGGCATCTCCCGGTCCTGAGCTTTGCACTGGTATCTCATCTCTGCTTCGGCCACACAAGCTTCCACAAAGGATTGGAACTTCCCAGACGCTGTTCCCGCAACCGTACACAGTTGACGTTTCCAAGTGGTATAAGACATTCCCAGCTCCCACGGAGTTTTGCCTGAGAAGTCAAAGTTTGGGATGTCCGTCAGCACCTTCCACTGCTCCTTGTCGGTTTCCATGCGATCATCTTGTCTAGATTTCTCGCTCGTCTCACGTCCTCCACGCACCAGCCCCGGCGACGTTGGCGCAGGCGGACCAACATGGCCTTCTTCTCCACGCACCAGCCCCGAGCCTGAAAGCGCACTCTGACCATGCTGTCCATCTTCCCCGCGCACCAGCCCCGCGCCTGCTGGCGCACTATGACCATGCTGGCCATCTTCCCCGCGCACCATCCCCGAGTCTGTAGGCGCATTCTGACCATATTGGCCATCTTCTCCGCGCACCAGCCCCGGGAACGTAGGAGTTTGCCGGCCAGGATGGCCAACTTCCTCACACACCAGCCCCGGCGGCGGCGTGAGTCCCCAAGGATTCTGGCACCCAGGGTCTTCACGCCACGCATAGTGATTGTCCATCTTCTCCCTGTTGTTGCCCTGCCAACCCCACCATTCATTCTCGGCCTCGTCGGCGTCGAACTGCGGCTGACCACTCGCGTCCTGGCAGTAAGCGTCCGGGGTCAAAGGGAAATGAGTAGCACGGTCGTTAGCACCTTCCACCAACACTTCCATGTCTTGCCTCAGTTGTCCCAACTCCTCCTGAACTGCCTCCTTCCAAGAATCTTCTTCGATCATGGCCACCCTGGCTAGCAAGGTCTCTGCGGCCTCTGCCACATGACTTGTCTGATTGCTCAAGCTGTCCACCCGAGCCCGAAGTTCTTCCACTAGCATATCACCCGTGGCTGAACGCGACGCCCCAGTCTGCCCAGCTACGGTCTGCTGCAGGGCTTCCGCCTGGCAGTTCAATCTGATGTCCTGGGCTTTCATGAGGTCCCGAAGTTTGGCAACCTGTGCTTCAAGCATTTCCATCTTGGCACTCATGGCTGCCTCCCGTTGCAGGAATCCATTCAACTCCCGCTGGTGACTTGCGTGATCCTGGACTTGCATTTCCAAGCTCTGCTTCAATTTATTCCTCATCTGTTCCATTGTTGCGCGCACTTCCATATCACCTCTAGCTTTGGCATCCACCAAGCCTTGGATGACTTCTTGCTGTCTCTGCAGGTCGGCATGAAGCTTCTCCATACCACGGACCATGTTTCCATAGCCCTCCTGCACGCCGTTGACTGTCTGACCAACATTCTCCAAAGCTGTAGCAAGCACTTCGGTCCGATACTGCACCCTGGAGGACAATTCAATCATAGCCGCCTGGATGTCAGCTGCAAAAGAAATGTCGTCGGAGATGCTAGTTGCGAAGGATCTCAGTGCATCTGCCGGCATCTGGATCTGGGTCATCTGCCTGAAGGTCACGACAGGGGATTGCTGCAGCTCTGCTGAAGCTAATGCTGCTGCTGCTGCTTGTTGATGCGGAGTGGTGCTGGGAGCGCTTGGGCTCATAACCTCTTGGAGGTTATGAGCTTGAGGGTTGGTAGAAGGGGTAGTAGGAACCAACGAATAATGACTAGGAGCAGGAGATCTACGAAACTGAATAGGTACGTCATCAAGAGGGTCGTAAGTAGATTGCATAGCTTACATGCACTACAAGCATGGACGAACCTCAACCCCAATCCTTCCCTCAAAAACCCACACCATCGGCGATCTTTTGTCGCACTTGAGCCATGTCGAATGGCGGTACACTTCTCGAGTGTGCGTGTCATCTTGTACACTTCTCGAGTGTGCGTGTCATCTTGTACACTTCTTGAGTGTGCGTGTCATCCTTGTGCAGGATCCGAAACACTACGAAGGAATCTGTAGCGCGTCTAGTTTATCAGTTAGGGTTAGGGAGTCTAGACCATAATTAGGGTTGGTATGAACAAACTTGGTACACTTCTCGATTTGTGCGTGTCATCCTTGCGCAGGGGCCATGCTAATCTTCTCTGTATCCTTCCTATTTTATCGGATGCTCCCCGAAGGGAATCCAGGGCTTAGGATTTAGGGTTGAGGCTGTAAGGGTTTGAGGATGGACGGGTTGAGGATAGGGAGGTCTAGTTTTGTTGTGCTAGTAACATTGTCGTCTGGGCTGGTTGCTGATTAAGGCTACTGTTGATGGGTTTGCTGCTCTTTGCCTGTTTTGCCCTTTTGTGTTCAGCGTTCTGCTTGTTACTTTCTGCCTTGTCCAAGACGGAGAGCGAAGCTTTGACATGAAATTGCCTGTCGGTGTGTTCGCTACGAACGAGTCTTTCGTCATGAAAGATGTCAGATTCAACCGCGAGCATGCTGAAAGCAAATGCGGGCTTCTGCAACACAATCGGAGGACAGCTGAAAACAATGCAGGTGAAAATCTCGCGCCGTGCGGATGAACTCAGGCAAGTCACAGTTCATCGCGAGATGGTCAAAAGTTGCCTCTTTCTCCAAGTCCGGATTGCTGCAGTTCGTGGCCAAAAGCCTTGCAACTTTCTTCACCCGTCCCAGCAAGTCGGCACGCTTGTCGGGAGGTGACATGACCAAAGACCACCGCTCTGGCACTCACGTAACGTGAGGGACCTATTGAGCACCCAGGTTTAAGCCCATTTGTTCATCGAAAGCTGTCCTGTCCTGCAGATTTCCAGAGTGCTGACCTAAAACTGTGGAAGCTTCCGTATTTGTCCCAACACACAACGCATGTTGAGCTCTGGGACGCCCAGTTTCACGGCCGAAACCCTAAACCCTAAACCCTAAACCCTAAACCCCTAAACCCCTAAACCCTAAACCCCTAAACCCCTAAACCCCTAAACCCCTAAACCCCTAAACCCCAAAACTCCCCTCTGTAAACTTCAAGCAGCGTGGTGGCCCCGAAAGCCGCTGCCATGGAGCCAACGGAGGAGAACCTTACGGCTTTGGCGGAACGGAACCGGAGCCTGAGCCAAGTCCCTGAACAAAAGCCGGTCTAGGGTTGAGGGTTTAGGGTTTAGGGTTTCGGGTTTAGGGTTTGGGGTTTAGGGTTTGGGGTTTAGGGTTTAGGGGAAGGGTTCACCACAAACCGAGCCGCGCATGACATGCAAAGGCGATGCCACTGTTGAAGAAGAAACTAATGCCGCCGAGAGCAAAACATCCCTGAAGCCCTATGTGATACATGACTGATATGACATATACAAGTTTCTTTGGAAGTAATGGCAATAAATAAACATACACATAAGTAGCAATAAAGATAGATAAGGCTATGAAGTCCCTGGCTCCTGTTTGAGAGCGCCCAGGAGCGTGGAGGAATGCTCCCGCACGAAGACACCCAAGAAAACCCACGTAAACCTGGGGGCAGTGCGAAGGCCATGCGGAAGAAGTTTCCACAGCTTCCGGAAGTTGCTTGCGGCACATCTGTCAGGGCTTCTTGAATACAGATCTTCGCGACGCAGCGGCCGCAGCGGAGCTATCTCTGATTCGAGGTGTTCTGAGTTGAACCCAAGCAGCGTGATCACCGCAAGCCCGATCAGGTCGTCCCAGTGGCAACTATCCTGGAGCGGCAGCCGCTTCGAAGTTGACTCACATGTACCATATGAAGCCCACGCTGTCAGCTTCTCAGGGGTCTAGTGGAAGCACCCTAAGCCCATCATCGTATACCCCACGAAGCTCCCAAAGTGCTTGGCGAGGCTCTACCATGCCACGGACCACTCTGGCCATGACCTGCCCGATCATGAGGCCCTGCATCCGGTTCAGATCAGAGACCAGAGCAGAGCCCACATACCTCGGCTTCGGGTACAGTAGCGGCGAACGACACTCAACAGGCACCAACAAACCAACAGCACACTTGCGCGTCGTATCTCAGAAAGGCAGCATGGTGAGCAGGTACGGCGTAGTCCCGGCGATACCAGCTGCGCGCTTGGGAACGACGCCCATCCAGCCGTGCCAACCTACGTTTTTGAACCCGTCTCGGGACCAGGGGAGCTGTGGGCGGCTGTCCGCCTACACCCCCCCTACCAACCCCCCAACTACCCCACTCCCCTGCCCCCGCCCCTCATCATTGGTCCCTACAACCTTCCCTATCCCTTCTGAAACTCTGCCTTCTGGGCGCCCTTTCCACCCTCCGTGCACCCTGCATTAACCTCGAGACCCTTGCCGTGCGGCCTCGCGTTAGCAGGTAAATCAGGGTTTAGGGTTTAGGCTTTAGAGTCTGCTCTCCACTCTATATGCAAGAGGAACAGCGGGTGCAACAGCACCGGAGCCCTTGCCACGCCTATCTGGAAGGCCAGAAGGTATGCCAGCAATCCTCTCGCCGCGAAGATCACATGGTCCTCTGAGTTGAAAGGCGATTCCTAAACCCTAAACCCTAAACCCCAAACGCCAAACCCTAATCCCCATCTTCTCGGGCAGCTCTTAGCGCTGCGTTGCCGGTTTGTTTTTGTGGGGGAGGGGGGGGAGGGGTGCCTTAAACACAAGGCTCTGAAAACGGAGCCCTCAGAACGAACACACCAATGTGGGGGGGGTTTCCGACGTTCGGGGGGTCCTTATTCATAAGGGAATCCTACGATTTGGGGTCTATATTCAGGCGTACCCCGTTTGTTGGGGGGGAGGGGGGCTTCTCATAAGGGAATCCTACTATTTGGGGTCGATATTCGGGGTCCCTCATTCTCCCAAGCCCTCCCATGGTCATGAGAGCCTTGCTCAGCAGAGTGCTTCCACATGACCCAGCATCCTGACAAGCTTGGTGCCTCCGACCCCTGCATTTTGTAAGGATGAAAAAAACTCACAGCACCTAGAGAAGAAAACATGCGGCTTGCGATTGCCTCCCAAGACTTTTAGCCACCTGACGAGAAGCGACACAGGCAGAAATCCAAAACCTCCGAAAAGCCCCAAAACAAACATCGTGAATGTAAAGAAACATCAAAAAAAGAAATATCTGGGGTCTCGTGTTTGCTGCGTGCTGCATGGAATCATCTTGGACTTGCAAGTCATCGGGGCTCCCCAATGTAAAGATTTTGTCCCGCCTTCTCCAACAGATTTGCGAAGAGCGCTGAACAGCCACCCAATTCTGGTGCAGCCGGCAACAAATCCTTCAGCGACATCCTTGGTCAGCCAGGAAAAAGGCTTGGATCACTGCAGTCCTGCGCTTGGTTTGATGCCCAGCTTTCATGTGCGTCGGCCTCTTTGCAGGATCCACCCGAGACCCGGAGGCTTAGCAAGATCGTCGGTTCTCCAGGATTCTCTCGGGCAAACACAGCATGCTCAGCATACTTGCCAGCCACTTCAACTATCATTCAATCTTTGCATCCAAGGCGCTGCTGCTGGATCTTGTCCGCCAACTCGATGGTTTGCGCCACCTCAGTCAATGCCCGTATAGCATGACAGGGCACCCGGTTGCCCCATTTCGCTGAGCCGCCACTCGACTGACGCTGAAGAGAAGGACCTGCGCTACGCGCACCTCCTCGGGAAAGCAAAATCCGTTCCCGAGCTTCCCGGAAACATTGCGACTGCCCAGAACTCAGAATGACTTCTGGTACCTCAAAGAGCTGGTGAGCGCTGCTAGCTGTCATGAATGGGTTGCAGTTCATATGAGTGTACTGACACTTGAAAAACGTTGTAACAACCAAGTCGAGTAGGCCAATGGGGCAGAAACCACCTCCTGGAGCCGGCTCTCCAGTCCTTGTAGATTGCCATCGGCTCCCCTTTCGTGACCTCCTTGCGCACCTTGGTGAAGTGCTTGCACATCTCCTGGCAGGATTCAAAGGCTTCAGGCGAAGCACTGGCCGAACCGCAAGACGACACTTTGACATCCCACTTTTTCGTTCCGAATACGTCTCGCCCGCACCTGCGGCCTACATTCCAGGGCGTCCCGAGGCTTTCATGCGTGGTTGGGCTGGTGTTGGATCGGGGATTCTGCCCACCTGATCCTTCTCTTCCAAGTCTTTGAAGCTTTTCCTCGGCTGCTGCTCTTCACGCGATTCCGAATGTTCCGTTCATCTCAGACTTCGATCGCAGCACTGGATCGATGAACCTTGCACACTCTGGAGATGCGTAGGGCGGCTCTAGAGGCAGGCATGTATTGGTTCGCCAGCTGGCTCTGCAACCGGTTCGATACAGGAGCCAGATTTGACTCTCATCAGTCTAGAACACAGTCCGCTGGGGTCACCGGAGTATAAGCAGCTTGCCCACACATCACCATGCTACAAGCAAACCAACAACGGTGCTGCACGTCGCTCGCAGCAGAAGATCTCAAAACTCACAACCCCTGACGCGGCTGATGCTTCAGGTCATGAGAATGTGACCCAAAGCGTGATTCCTTGCAAAATCTATCATCTCTCCCTGAGCGGAAGCGCCCAAGAAGCAAAAAGGCGCCGCCGGAAGTGAGGAACCTTGAGCCTACCACTTTTCCTCCAATCAATCTGAGATTCTTCAGCGCTACGACCTCTGCAGGATCCAGGTTCCCATCTGAGGCGGCCTCTCTCTCAGCGAGCTTCGACAGACTCGGGCACACTGCGGGGGGGGGGGGGGGGGGGTTCCCAATAAAGGGGGTACCTTGATTAAAGACTCCAAAAATATGGAAGAAAGACCAACGCCCGAGGTCTGCTCAGTCTGCTCTCCACTTGGAGAACTTCCTGCATGACCTCCACTCTCAAGGTGCCTTGACGAGCAAGTTCATGGTAACTTGCATCGACTTGAGCCTCATGTCGAGCTCGGTGATACAACTGCAACTCAAACTGAGGGGATATGAAACATCCCCATCAGAGCTCAGGGTGCTTTTCGTGGCCAGCCATGGCCCAACGACCCAACCCAGCTGAGGAGCACTTTCTCAATGGATGGCCTCCTGAGTTGCGCGCGCAGTACACGGGTTTAGCGTTTTTGATGGTCCATGATATCCCAGCTGCACTAGACGCATGAGCTCCGCGTCCATCTCCCCTACATCCTCAGAGATGGATTCTTGCCAGGCGTTCCAGATCCTCGGCGGAAGGCATTCCCTCACTGCAATCCCACCACCTTGCACTCCTCTGCAATTTGTGCGCCAAACGAACAGTGAGAAATTCCTACGTCGGGACATCGACGGAGAGGACAGCAACAGTTGAGCATGTACGCAGGCGAACACGTGAGCTTGCCTCTCAATTTTCAGGTACCAAGTTGCCCGTCCATTGACATGGTCCGTTGATACAGGCATAAAGCCAGCAGGGCTCTAAAGCGTGCTGAACATGGAAACCATGCCCCCACCTGGATCATCTTCCGGTTATATACCAGGATGAGAATCCGCAAGCGCGTCAAGCTCGGTTTAGCGTTTAGGATTTAGGGCTTTTGGTCAGCCAAGCATCAGATCACTTATCGCCTTCGTGACCTTATCCATGGATGCCAAGACCCGGCGCTTGACTTGCGATCGGCCCAGGCCCCAGCCTTACATGTTCTTGTTCAATGCAGCTCGCTGCATATATAGTCTATGATGCGTAATATATAGAATTTCATGTATAATGCATACTAAGACTATGAGAAAATATGGTATATAATCAATAAGATGTAGAACATACTATACAACAAATTACAAGATACAAATGCACTATACGAAGTATAATGCAAAAATGCAGGCTTCCGTACTATACCATATTATTTCACATCTTGTATGAGCCAAGTTCAGCACCTCGGCATGTGACTAACAAGAAGCACCTCATGGCAACTCGCAGACAGGGAACACTCCCACCAGGCTGCAGCCAGCAGCGTGTCGTTCTCCTCCACCATATCTCCTCAGTCACTTAGCTATCAACCAATAATACGACATCCCTAAACCCTAAACCCTAAACCCTAAACCCTAAACCCTAAACCCTAAACCCTAGAGCGGCCAAGATTTGCTCCATGAAGCCGAGCGTCTCATTCGGGTCATCCTGTGGTAAAGCACTGTTCCGGCAGTAGATGAAGGGGTCTATAAGGAGGGACCCCTAGAAGGGACCCTTGATCTGATTCCCCTAAAAAAACCCAAAATATACCTTATATAGTCCCTACATACTTAAGTAGCTGAGAAATAACCCTGCAAATTACCCTAGGAGACGGTCCGCCCTCCCTGCTCCTCTTTAGAAAGGGTATCGGAAGCATGTTGAACTAATGTTTTACGTGTTGAGTCGTGTAATTGTGGGATTCTTTCTGTCCAGGCCTGCGGATCACTTGGTCCTTGACGTAAACATTCGGCTTGTCCTGCGAATAGTACTTCACCATTGTTTCCAGCACCTGCACGCGTTCTGGCTGCTCATGTACGGTTGAACTCTTGAACGAGTCCGAGATGTCCGAGATGGCTATAGGAGGCAAAAGGGATGAGGTACCGTTTCAGGGAGTCCGATGAAGAAGGACTATACTCTGTTTGGGGTACATAAAGAGTATCCGCATTTTGGAAATGGCCTGGGAGAACTTCAATTTCGGAAAAGGTCCAATAGGTATTTCCCAAACTAGATTATCCCTCACATGAGTCCCAAGATACGGCGATCCTGATTAGAGGACCTCCCCCAAAAATGAAAACAAAATACAGCACCACCAACCGCTAAACCCTGCCCTAAACCCGAAACTCCAAACCTTAAACGCTACACCCTAAACCCTAAATTTAACCCCTAATGCCTAAAGCCTAAAGCCTAAACCCTAAACCCTACACCCTAAAACCTAAACCCTAAACCCTAAACCCTAACCACTATTTTAAGAAATCCCCCTGTAGGGCCCAAAACTGGCCGGTGCCTGGACCACTTGCAGGTTCGCGCCGAGCTGGCTCTCGGTGACGAACATCAAGGACCAACCTGTGGGAGGTTAGGGTTTAGGGTTTAGGGTTTAGGGTTTAGGGTTTAGGGTTTAGGGTTTAGGGTTTAGGGTTTAGGGTTTAGGGTTTAGGGTTTAGGGTTTAGGTTTAGGGTTGAGGGTTCAGGGCTTAGGGTGGCTGAGCATCAGTGCACAATCCAGCCTCCGTGAACCCAACCCGGAAGGTCAAAGCATGCTTATCAGCCCTTGCCACTCGACACATTTGGGGGGGGGGGGGGGAGGGTTCCGAAACTCAGAGGGGTACCTACTTTGGTGGTCCTGGCAAAGAGATTTTGCTATGTTTTGGGCTCCCCATGTCAGAAAAGGCAATAGCCATTCTATCACCTGCTCCGATCTGCTCTGCGAGGCACGCGGGTAGGGAAGGAGGCTGGCAATCACCACGGCCACCATACCCAGCCCGGTGCCTGAGTCACAGAAGATGAGCGACTGGGGTTATTTCTGAGGGTTCACCCTAAACCCTAAACCCTAAACCCTTCTTGAAATGCAAAGGCACATGTCCAAAACTTCCACATGCTTGACATTGCAGAGTGCCTACTATAGGGGCCTGAATAAGTAAAATAAGGTATGATAGTGTATTCATAAAGGGGCCATAAGGGAATGCTACTAGAAATTATTCCGACCCCTATGTTTTACACTTTCAGTTCCCGTGAAACTTGGGCTGAAGGAACAGATTGGGCAATACGAAGGATCAAAGTTTGTTGAAGTCTGAAAGGTCTCTTTCATGTCAGGTCTGAAGCTAAATTTTGGGCACCTCTGCGAATTTCAACCGACGAACATCTCGATCGTTCTGCCTGCTGCTGCTGAAAACAAAACTCTCCGACGAGCGAATGGGGTGCGGCAGCCGAGGCGCAAATAAAGCCTTGGGTCAGAATGTCCTGTCAAACGAAACATTCGCACAAAACATGGAGGGTTCAAGAGCCCCAGCTCTGCACGCAACTTCCGGGTACTCCTTGTGAATGGTCCATCCGGGAGTCCAGGGGGGCATGATGGTGTCTTCGTGCTTGTCGTTCCTGGCAAGACAAAGGCTTAGGGTTTAGGGGTATAGAGTTGACTTGGGGGTTCATGGGCGCCTGTAAGTAGGTGTACCCTAAGTACCCTAATTGGGTTTTCAGGTAGTCCATACCTTTAACCCCCCTACATCTGCAGTGAAAGCCGGAAGTGCAGGGCACTGGCTGCATCAAAGGCTCAGAAAGTTCATCCATGTGGTGGCCCAGCCGGACAAGGCAAACATCTGCAAAGAGATGCCAAACCTGACTTGCCAGGTGGGCCACCCAAACTCGTTCAAAAGGAGAAAAAAAGGAAGCTCCACTTTGCGAGTCAAGGAGCCGGAGGTACATCACCACGGTGACATAGAGAACTCCAACCAAGACACCGCCATAGAAGACCGAGTCGGGGGAGGTGCTTTGATAGCCCTCTGGGTACAGGGTGTACCTGGACTCAGTGCTCTGCACACGGATGCTTCTTCATACCTCTCTGCAACATGGGGGCCAACGGGCCCCCAACCTTTTTGGACTCTGTCTGGTGGGTAGCATCTCCAACTCGCAACCCTCCCCCCCCCCCTCTGCTTTTCAGAATTCAGTCTGGGAGGCATGAGCCATCCCATCATCGAGGAGAGCAAAGTGCCCTGCAAGCCTGACTTGCAGCTGTTGAAGGCCTGCGCATGGCTTTCGGGTCAGAACCCGAGAACCTGAGAGCCTCAAATCCTCAATCCCGGAGAGAACACTGAAAGCCTGCTGGCAGGACGTGTGAGGGCGCGATCGCGTAACGTGGGAAAGCTGTAGCAAACGTGTGAATCTGTGGCTGGACCTGTGGAAACGGACTCCTCACAACAGTCTCGAGGGTAGCGCCGAGCTCGATGCATCATAACCATGCATACCGTGCCTTGCCACTAGATCACCTCAAGTCAACCTTGCTCGACTTGGCCATCACCATGTGAAGTTGCTCCAAATGCCATACCCCAAAAGGGACTTCTCGTTAAATGAAGCTACCATGTCCTTGAACCGCACCTGACCGAAGGAGGTGCCGAGATTGAAGACAATGAACCTCGCTTCGCTGCCGCTCGGGTCTGGTTCGCAACAAAAAGACCGGAAATCTGGACAGGGTTTAGGGTTTAGGGTTTAGGGTTTAGGGTTTAGGGTTTAGGGTTTAGGGTTTAGGGTTTAGGGTTTAGGGTTTAGGGTTTAGGGTTTAGGGTTTAGGGTTTAGGGTTTAGGGTTTAGGGTTTAGGGTTTAGGGTTTAGGGTTTAGGGTTTAGGGTTTAGGGTTTAGGGTTTAGGGTTGCGGTCCGGGTCCAAGGGCTGTTCAGTGACCCACAAGGAAAGTCGGATAAGGGCTACGTTCACAAACCGAGAATGCAGATCAGCGACATGCAGACCCCGCTGGAATAGACGCCCAGCTCCATCACCTAGGCAGTCACCCGGCTGGCGGGCAGAATGCTACAAACAGACAATCGAGAGGCTCGCGAAAATCGGAATGAACGATGCAGACACAGTCACATCGTCCCGGAAGGCCCACACACCTCGCGGCATGATGATTGGAATGGCGAAGAAGACCTTGGCGAGGGCACAGGGTAGCTGGCTGGGGCCCTCTATGGCTGCTTCTAGAAGGAACGACACTTCAAAGAACACACGAGTCTGGGTTTGGAGTCCTGCATGAGAATATTTGAGCAAACTAAGGGATCCCAGACCCTCCTACCTCCTGCAAGCAGTCTGGGCGTCCTAGGACCTAGGATCTCTCTGCCCGGCAACCAGCGCAAATGCTCCACGGAAGGCATGCTCGGCGTTCTCCGCAAACTTTGGGTTGTGCTCCTTGGGGTTTAGGTTTAGGGTTCAGGGTTTAGGGTTTCGGGTTTAGGGCGACAACAGGGGCGTTGAGTTTGAGTTGCCTCATGTGATGAATCTGGCTGATTGCAAAGAAGCCGAAGCAACGACCAGCAAGGCTGCAGAAGCCAGCTGCTCACAGGCTCCGACGAAAGCAGACCAAAACCCTTAAGTCGCTGAACCGTTTGCTGGAGTAGGGTTTAGGGCTTCGGGGGGCTTCGGGTTTAGAGTTTAAGGTGAATCACAGCTCTGTGCAGCCGAGGTCTCCGCGCCGAAAAGCCGCTGCACGCGTCGGCGGAGGGAGCCCACGAACGCATCTTCGCCCATCGCCTTCTCTACCTTGGCTTGTTTTCGACACTGCGCAGACCCGGAACTACGCCAGTTGAGGGTTTAGGGTTTAGGGTTTAGGGTTGTTTAGGGTTGTTTAGGGTTGTTTAGGGTTGTTTAGGGTTGTTTAGGGTTGTTTAGCGTTGTTTAGGGTTGTTTAGGGTTGTTTAGGGTTGTTTAGGGTTGTTTAGGGTGGTTTAGGGTTTAGGGTTTAGGGTAACCCCTAAGATAACCCCCAGAAGACTAGAATTAGGGACCCCTAACAAGGTACAGGGCCTCTCCTCATATCTCAGGCCAAAGGTGCGGGGCGTTGATCTTAAATTCCCGGGATATCGGGCCAAAGAACAAGCTCCAAGGAGCTTTCGTGACATGTTTCAACATTTTGAAGCTCTTGCCTGTAGTTGCGAATTCCGCGAACCCTTGTCAACTGCCTGCAATATGCAAAGATACCAGAGACTTAAGATAGCAACATCTACACCCAGACAGAGGAAATTCTTGTATTGAGCCCAGTCTGCGAGAGGCCAACTGCAACCTGGAAACCCTGGACCTAAGCGACGCCCTAACTCGGAGCACCATTTACCCAAAACCCCTCAAGGCCACCAGCATCACTATGAAACACCCCTCAAAGCCGGCCACGGCCTCCCCCCCCCCGAAGCATTGCTTTGGGTCTGACTGCACCTTCTAACATCCTCTGAGAATTCAGTGCCAGTTGCATCTTGTTGGGCTTTCAGCAATGGCGACTCTTCCGCCGCCACCGCCATGGATGCGGAGCGCACACGGCTTGCTCAAGGCTTCCAGAGCCAACTAACGCTGTCCAGACAACAACACGGCTAAGCTTCTAAGTGAGAGCGATGGCAAGGTCTAATAACTCATCACGTCCTCTACAGCCTGTAGCCGCGCAGCCTAGCAACTCTGCCATGTGCCACCCAGGACGTGATTTCTGGCGCGGAGTCCTGGCACCCTCCGAGGGGGCACAGTGCTCTGCAGACTCAGCGCTGGCGTCGTGGTGGGAAGACCCCGGCCTGGGCCGGGCGCCAAACACAGCGCAAGCTGCAACCTATCTTAAGCCACCGATGGTGAGAGATGGAAAGACATGAAGAGAGATGAACCGTGTGGAATTTTGCAAGTTCTCAAACCCTTGGCGATGGGCCTGGATGGTGGCAGCTCCTCTTCCAGCGGGGCTGCAGTGGCCTGTCTGGGCCATGGCATGAAGCTTGGGACCTCGACCGCTGCCATTAGGTAGACCCGCGCGCTCTATGTGAACAAGATGTGGATGACAGCCGAAGTATGACAAATGATGCTAGTCTGAGCGTATATACCGGCCTTGGCTCGGGTTGGAAAAAAGACATTGACTTGCCGAAAGAACTCTCAAATTGCCCTGACGGAACTCCCAAGCCCTCACACGGGGGCCTCACACTCCGCCCACTCCGGTCCAAGCGGGGCTTCTTCACAGTCTTCACTAGGTGGGGCTGGAAGCCTCAATGTCTGAGCAGCTTCGCACTCAGGGAGAGGCACAGGCAACCAAACCGGCCAGCCCACATTGCATCTTCCCGCCCAGGGACAACCCTTCTGCCAGAATCATCCGCTTTGCTTCATGGCCCTAAACCCTAAACCCGAAACCCTGAACCCTAAACCCCTAAACCCCTAAACCCCTAAACCCCTAAAACCCTAAAACCCTAAAACCCTAAAACCCTAAAACCCTAAAACCCTAAAACCCTAAAACACTAAAACCCTAAAACCCTAAAACCCTAAAACCCTAAAACCCTAAAACCCTAAAACCCTAAAACCCTAAAACCCTAAAACCCTAAAACCCTAAAACCCTAAAACCCTAAACCCTAAACCCTTTCAAACCCTTTCATGCCCAGCTCTGCGGAGTGTGACAACGCCATGTGCTCTTGCAAGGAACCTCGAGAAGAACCTGCTACAGCACGTCCCTATTCTTGTTCGTTGCTCTACAGTACCGACTAAACCCTAAACCCTAAACCCTAAACCCTAAACCCTAAACCCTAAACCCCTGAACACTGTATACCATGTACTCCAGCATGTCAGATATGGGTGCTGAGGCCCCGGCCGCGAGGCTTCAGCCTTCGGAAGAGAAGCTGCCTCGAGTTGAAAAAGGTGCTATAAGGAAGAACATATGGGATAACGCAATAAAGAAAAGCAAAAGACCTGAAGATTAACAAATGAGAAAGTATATGTGACATGTTGTACATTGTAGATCATTTGCTCTACTAGAATGAAACATGCGTGAAATATCTGAAATGCATTAAAGCATACCTCGCATGGCAAAAACAATATATAACTCTTTTATAAATGGCATTATCGAGAACATAATGTATAGCATATGATCTACTAGATACTAAGGAGAGTATAATATGTACTAAAGACTCGCTCACTAGATTACAAATTAAAGTGCTGGAAGTGTATTATTCTCTTCGCTTTTACTTCTTCGTCGAGAGCATTTGCTATCTCAATATCTACAGTCTTTACAGTATCTCCCTCACTTGCATTGTTAGTAAGGGTCATGTTCAGGACCACCAAAAAGGCCAATTGTAATCACATTTTGTTGGTGAGCAAACGAATGCATTAAAGCACCTGTCCTTTCTCACCACACCGTGCCTCTGCAAGGAGGGGTGCAGGCTGGGCTGCTACCCAGGAGCCTCAAGTCTTCAAGTCTTCAGAAAACTTCAGGGAAAGACGCTGGGAAAGCGCAAGCACATTCCAGAATGGTCATATCACGTCGGGTCGTCTTATTACGTACTTTTCTAATATGGTCGTAATCTCTTAGATGTTTTTTTGCCTTGCCGAGCACTGACGAAGCCCACCCTAAACTCTGGAGCCTAATAACCCTAAACCCCCAAACCCTAGAGCCTAACAGCCCTAAACCCTAAACCCTGGAACCTAGTGCAACCCACTTCATCATACCTCCATTTCCCTGAAATTCTTTCGGCTGCGGCCTGGGGCTTTGCGTCGCGGGGACCGCTCGGATCGCTGGGATCGCTCGCGGAGCAGCCGCTGCAGCCGAGCCACCTCTGCCGGCGAAGAACTTTACACGTCACACACATACACATACATATGTATACATATATATATATATGTATGCATATACATATATATATATATGTATATGCTTACTTCTATATGTATATGTCTGTACTCCTGTTTGTATGCGTATATATGTATATAGTGACAGAGCGAGAGAGAGAGAGAGAGAGAGAGAGAGAGAGAGAGAGAGAGAGAGAGAGAGAGAGTGTGTGTGTCTGCATATACATACGAGACAGTATGCACATTGCGTATGTGCCTGCGGGCTTTGGAGATGGAGCTCAGGGCAGCGGTTTGTTTTGGGCGATGTATCTATGTGCAAAGGGGGTTGAGGGTTGGTTGAGTTCAGCTTCACCGAATGGCGGGATATTTCGGATGTTTGACCTGGGGTTGTCTGGGAATATCGGACTTAGAGTACCTGAACCGATTTGCGCACTGATGCGGTGCAGCGTAGGCTCATGGCTTGAGACTTCTTACAAGGGTTCTGGCCTGTTACACAAACTAAACCCTAAATCCCAAACAATAAGCCCACAAAAACCCTGAACCCTGCAGCCAAAAAAAGCAAGAATCTAAGCCACAAAAGTTGAAACCCTGAACCCGAAAAGACCTGAACACCGCAAAAACCAAAAACCCCGATCCCTGAACCTTGAAACCCTACGCTCTCAAAGTGATAAGTCTCAACCTTACAAACCCTAAACCGCCGAAAGTGGCCTCAAAACCCCGACCCGAGCACAACACTCCAACACCCTAAAGCTTAGAAACCCTTGCAATCCCAAGAATCCTCAACCCCAAAAGCGTCGCTCCTCAAAATTCACGAACCCTAAAATCCCTAAGACGTACACACGCGCAGCCCTGAAAACCCTAGCCTTTAAAGTCGAGGCATGAGCTGGGGTGGTAGGGAGTGCTTGAATCGGGCTAGGTGCTTCTATCTCCCGTGCTTGAATCAGGTTTTCTGCTCGAATCGCGCATGCTTGAATCAGCCGGGTTTGGTGCTTGAATCGTGAGTGCTTGCATCGGGCGTGCTTGAATCGCGGGCTAGATCCAGAGCTTGAAGCGGACTGTTACCGGGGTTGTTTCGCGCCTTTGCCGACTGCATATTTAGCACAACTCCGAGCCCGACCTTGAACCTAAAAAATTAAAACTGCTCCGATTGCGTGCCTCAGACTGCAGTTGTTTGCACGCTCTCTCGACCTGATCCCACATGGGGGGTTGATCTGGGTCCCTCATGGGAAACTACTAGGTTTGTTTTGGGAACCGATACTTGGGGGCTTACAAACCCCTAAAATACGCCCCAAAAAATAGGATTCCCTTACGATAAGGCCCCAATAAGGTAACCCAATTTCGGGAACCACCATTTGGACTTAGCGGATTCCTCGCGCCTTTAGCAGCTGATCCAGGATCGCGAAGAACGCATGACCCCTTTCTGCCCCCTGCCTTGCGCAGCTTGGTCTTGGTCCGCTGCCGAGCCCTTGAACGGATCGGGCTTTATGACGCTCTGTGGTTCATGGGTGTGCCCTCCGGCAGAATCTTAGACTGTACAGCACGCAGTGCACAAGTCAACAAGCCTGGTAAAACAAGAGCCTCTCGAGCAAAGCAAGCACTGATAAAAACCATCCCAAAAGAAGTAAAGGCCGAAAGGCGAAGGATGCTCGGAAAGGGACCTGGCTGGTGCGCGCTCGCGTGCATCTGGAGCTGCCCCTGATCAGAGCAACAGCAGGGCATGGGCCTCAATCCCACATTTTGGAACATACTGCTGTGCGAGCGCTCCGCAACCGCTCTGCAACCTGCGCAGCCAGCCGCTGAGGGGCAAGTGATGCGCATGCTTCGGCTTGCATGAAACAATTCCGCGCAGTCGCGCCGATTAAAGCAAACAATGGCGATTGGTCATCATCGGAATCATTCGCTACTCACTGGCACTCCATCACGAGGCCTTCGGCGATGCAGCCGTGCCTGAACCAGAGCAGCGGGGCATGACAAAGCTTAGCAGGGCTGGGCACTGCGACGTTTGAAAACCTACCCTAGCGCCGCAGCCACTATTTTCTACGGCTTATTAATTCGGCCCATGCACCCAGCAGCCTTCGTTCAACTGGAGCTCGTCTTGCCGCTCTCGCCGGCCGAACTGCCCGCCCGTGAGCTCCGCCCGTAAACTCCGCCCATAAAGTCGCCCTTGAAGTGCGCCCGTAATCCAGCCCTTAAAAATTCTAGGGCACCTTCCTGCAGACCTAGCAGGGGGGCTTCGCCCGTAATCCCAGAGCACGTCGCAACTAGTTTCAGGGCACGGTTAAGGGTTCCATCTACAGCAGGCCCCACATAAGCACAACTTCGCAGGCATTTCTGACGAACCAGCATCTGACTGACGCATACCCACTGGTGTGACATATCGCCAGATGGCCCGAGCTGCAACACCCAACTCGATACAAAGGACCAATGGAAACGATGCAGGGGAGCTCAGGATCAGGGCTTGATACGACAGCTCAATTTGCTGAGGCTTCTACTACAGACGGAAGCTGGCACAGGCACTCATGCAACGGGGTCTCGTCAAAATCCTGCACAACCAAAAACAGAACGCAAAAATGAAGCTTGGAATACAAAAAAACCAAGGAATGCCTGGCAACTTGCGGTGGCCAACTGCTCGATGCCGGCGTCCAACCTCAGGCCACCGCTGCTTGGAGGATTCATGGTCCTTATTAACCAATAGTAACTGTACGTATTACCCACT